AGATTTGCGGGTGCGCAACACTATATTGCATCATAAAAGACCTGAAAATTGTCCAAATCTGGCAATCCTGGTATGTCTCTCAATCCGTTGATGTAAGTTTCTTTTCTTTTAGGAAAAAACACTTTCGGGGGGGGTTGTGGGATTAACTCAAAATGTAATCAGTTTAACCCACAGAAAAATGACAACTTTCAAAAAGTAGGGACCTTACAATAATTTAATTAACGTGTGTTTCAGATACCTCAGGGATGTTGCTATACATGTTATTGGGCCCTGAACAATACTGATATTCCACTATTTTCAATGGGGCTTGAGTTGAATTATTGCACTTCAACCTGAATAGCCAGTCGCGTCATTTTCGTATTCAACACGACCGGGGGGTAGGCCTAATGAAGGAAAGGCGCAGGTTGACACGAACAACTCACGACCAAACTCTTGAGGGCGCAATATTGATCGATAGCGTTGGCATGCCACCTGCCTGTCTGTCTGTGTCAAAAACAAGTTGTTTAACCACACTAGGTTAATTTGATCATTGCACGTTTTATGCAATGTAACTGATATTTGTGGCGCACAGACGGACGTGTTAATTATTATTATAGTGTATGTATATTGCCATCACCACGACCGTCTGCAACAGATAAACTGAGCGCGAGATGCCACGCACGTGTGCTTCCATTTACGATGTGAATGGTAAGTGTCTGTGTTGCTCTAGTAGTAGTGGTACTAGTAGTAGTGTTAGTGGCCTAATTATTACTACAGCCTATAGGCTTCAACCTTAAGCTTCAGAGGTTCAAGGCCACTTGGCCTTGAATGCTCCTAAAAACCAAAGAGCACCAAGAACAAATGAAGGACACCAAGGCCGCTTTGAAATTTTTACTTATGCTTGTTGGTGACTTCAACAGACTTTCCTTCGATTTCATTTTCAACATGGTGTTTAACTTTTTACCTGCAATTTTCATTGTTTCTGTTCACATGCAAGCTGAGCAGTCTGCTTGAATTGTAAAAATAAAAATAAATTATACTGTACTAGCTTTTAATTAACCATTTTGTGCTGTGTCTTATTATTTTCGCCGTGGCTATTGTTACGGCAGCCGTAACGCATCTCCCATTTTCTATGGTTACGGCACTGCAACTGCGCAAGCGCACCACACCAACCAAGTGCAGATTTCGGACATTATTTCACTTTAAAATAATCCTCCAAAGCCTCCGGTGAGAAAAGAAAAAAGATTCCTGCTTAGGCCGATACAATTAAAAACTAACAAAAAAAATTATGGTATAAAACATGAAAGTTAGGCTTAAAAAAATAAAATGATCCAGCGCTAATTCGAACTCACACACCAGTGGTTCAAAACCTTCCACATTATCCACTCGGCCACAAGCGTTCAGCGATCCAGGTAATTTAGATTTATATAAACCACTTCATATTATTTCATGATTCCATAAAGGCAACACTGTTTTTCGAAAATCAATGTAATTACTCACAAACAATGTAATTCAAGCAAGTTGGTCTCTGGGTCACAAACATTTATCCAAAAGAAGCCCGCTGTCATGCCCAGTGTCTGCGTGAATACATGTACCAGTAAAATAGCTAGGAAAATAGACTGGGTCATACTCCTGTCCACAATCCCCCAAATAATAGTGACTCAGTCTCAATATGTGCAAGGTACGAAATCCAATCGGTGCAGAATGTGTAATTCTGTGCCACGACTTGTAACCAGTCTATGTATAAAAGTAGTCTGGTGCCACATTTTTGGGGTCTTACAACTCTAGTACATGTACGTTGATACGGTTGCCATACCATTCTGTCTGTAGAGGGTGCACCACTAAAAATAAATTCCCATAGACAGCAGTGATAAATCCCCATACTTCGCAAATATTTTAAAAATACAACTCTCACAGGCTGCACAAAAAAATGATGTTCCACATGTCCTCTTTCATTTTCCTTTCAATTTGCGGGGGGTTGACCAATGAATTTTGGAGAAATTTTCAGCAGAAGCAGACCACCCCTAAAATACAAAAAATGTCCCTGTCCAGAAAAGCAGCCATTTTGAAAAACCGTCTCTCGGCAAAATGGCTTAACTAGTGCCACTTTCAAACCTGATTGCATCCAAATTGCTCAGAATTGGAAGCCTTGAGTCCGGCCCAGAGGTTCAGTCTCATATTTCTTCAATTCCTCAGTTCAAGGGCTCTCAGGACTTTCTAATATAGAATATTTTGAGTGTACAACTTTTATTAATGAGCTCGGCGGACATATTTCTGGCCTATATACGAGGGTGCACCCTGAGCGATGTTAGTATAATAGAGATCAATGTGAAAAACCTGCTCGTGAAAACAAGTGCTCAGTGCAGCTGCCGGCCGTTAACAGAAACGCTAGGGCGAACGGTAACTTGACAGTTGAAAACAACTTTAAATACATGTAGGCCTACTGATCATTGAAGAGGGGCACGTCGGCCAAGTGGCCAAAAGGTACACGCTATTTTTAAAGGGCATCACAGCAATTCACTAGAGCATTGCGGCAGTGGCCGCCGTAACGATCAAAGCCTGTATAAGTATTCCTCTTTTTCAAATGTTGGACGGGATCAGTCCAAAATTCAAAAAAGAGGAAGACTGACGTTCCACTCAGTAGAGTTAGTAGTGTCTGTGATATTGCAGGCCATTGTCCATTCGAATCGGTGTTCTTTTTATAACAGGCAAAAAAGTGATGTAGTGATTAGGCCTAGTGGACCTGTCATTTTTTGCTGTGTGGACATTTTGATGATCTGTCTTAACTATGTTGGTGAAGCTTCACAACTCCAATATGTGCTGAAGTCTGGTTGAAAGTTACATGTAGACAGGCTCTCCGTACAGGCTACTGTCATTAAACCATACAAAGGAGTCTGTGTAATGTGCAAATCTGGCCAAAATTCGTCATATTTCTCCTGCGTGGGGAAAACGCCAACTGAAGGCAACATTTTTTCCTCCAAAGAAGGAATAGGCAAGTTTTCTGCAATTAGCAACCTGGGCATAATTTACCCCATAAGTAGTGAACATGCCAGGGCAATTTCAGCTCATAAAATCCAGCGGATGTTTGATTATGCCCGTGGACATTCCGAATAAACTTGTTCAAAAGAAATCACTGTCCATCGGGACAGGGCCCAGTATATGATGGACTATACGTCCCGCCCTGTTTACGGGTCAAAGTAACTTGGACTCTACATACCAAGTCAACATACCTTACATATGCCAGTACTTTTGCTTATATTAATTCATTTCACCCAAAATAGCGAACATATCCTGAATCAAATTCCTCTGAATATACCTCTAAAATGGTTCTGAAACTGTCTTATGTACCCAGCTAAGGATTAAATGAGAATCAGAGGTCCCAATAATTATAGTAAGGTTTACTCACATGGGAAAAAAGAAAAATTTCCCCTTCAAATCGGAAACACTCTTGTTGACAAGCTTGAAGTAGCCATCTTCATCATTAGCGGTTCAAATCGTGCCAGATTGACCGTCTGCGTACCGAGTGAGTGGACCATTCACAAAAAGCCTGCAGCGTCAGCACGCTATTGCCTTAACTGTTTCCTGAGTGACGCAACATCCAGTGTGCTATTCAATGTGATCATGGGAAGCTACTAAATGTGCTTCACTCAGGAAACACTCGTCAAACTGGCAGTTGTGCCAAACCGGCATGCTTTTTTGTGAATGGTCTGCCAGCTCTGCTGCTCCATCTTGATATCATCTTCAGCTACATTAGCATACAGTTTGAATTAAGAAGATGGCAACTTGAGCTCGCTAATGAGAATTTCCTATTTTTGAAAGGGAAATAATCTCTTTTCTTACTATCATTATTTGAATCTACAATTCTCATTTAATCTTTAGCCTTGTGCATCAGACATTTAAAGGACCATTTTGGAGGAGAATTCAGAGAATTTTGATTTCGGGGTACATGCTATTTTGGCTTAAATGAATTTAATGGAAGAAAAAACACATGTACATTTACATACTTGTACATGTACATGTTATGGAAGCTGCTGGGACTCTACTATCGGCCGACCTTGTACAAATGTGTTAAAAAAGGCAATTTGTGGAGTCCAATATAATGTAGAACATCTGGAAAATTCTGTCAAGTATTTACACAACCACCAGTAGTTTGCAGGGTGAAATACTCAGCGTGCATTCGACCAGATAGTTGTAAAATTTCTCACAAATCAAGACTTTGCATCATTGAGTTTGTTGCATTAACATAACTGGTTAGTTATTTCATTTTATGCTTAATTTCTCATTTGTATTTATTATTTGCAGTAATTCAGTATACTCATACAATATTTTTATCAGAATGCCTTCATTCTGACTTTCTGCACTCAACATTGTTCTTGATTAATGTCAAATTTACCTTACTTTCAGGCGTGATCTGTGACCGCAAGATCCTGACCATCTCTACCCTGATTGGACAGCAGTACCCTGAGCTTGGCCACAAGCTGGGACTCACAAAGGCTCAGCTGGTAGAAATAAAGGCCGGCGCACCCGATAACCTTCAGCACCAGGTTTTTCACACCTTGGACCTGTGGAGGCAACAACAGGGAATAGAGGCCACGCTGGAGAGACTGAACAAAGCCCTGAAGGAATTGGGATGGATTTCGGTGCTTACGCAAATCAGAAACACTCCAGACAATTTCTATGTTGTCGTCTAAAGTATTCAAGGTTAAGCTGCACTAAGGCTTCACCTCTGAAGTGGGGTCAATATTAAGTCAAGTGCCGAAGAATTTAATCAGCACAGCCCAACCCTTACCCAGCCTTAGAAAAAATGGGATTTATCAGTACTGTGCGGTATGAGCGCCTGAAACCTCAACATAGTGAAAAAATGCAATGCAACAACGAGTATGAAATCAGAGTGTGTTATTGGCTTCCTGCACAGTGAAAAATTTGGGAGGATTCAGCAAGGATGCTTCAGATGTGTAAAGGTGTCAAGGAGTTGCATGACGTTGCAAAGCCAGTCCATAGCGACAAAAAAGTTTGTCACAGTAAACAGCATTTATTCTGTTACTCAAGTTGTCTGAGACAATTTTGATTTGATATCTTATTAACTCATCAAAAAAGAGTCAGGTTGGCGTAGTTGTTCTTTCCTCGCCTTCCACCTCTGTGGTCCAGGTTCGATTCCTGGCTCGGTCCACATGTGGATAGGGTTTTCAGTCCGTACTTGATTACATGAGTTTTACCCAGAATATTCCTCAGGGGTTTACCCCCCACCTCTAAAACTGTAACTGCCACTCATTTCAGTCTGCCTGAGTCTTCAAGTATGAAGTTAGCACATCATTGGAAGAAGATGTACAGTATTTACAATAGAAATTTTAGGGTCCACCTTTGACTTTTTTTCAAGCTGCTAGTACTTTATCTGGAAATTTTCCTGGCATCACCAAGAGTAATCTACAGAAGACCAGAGACAAAGAGATCTAACAGCCATATACTTGTCGTGGGTCAGCCTTATGCAGTTTGTCACAGCAGAGAACCACAAAATTTTGTCTGCATTGCAAGTTTGGTGTTAGAATGAGTTTCAACTTAGATATGTCACATTTTGTAAATACATGTATAAAATTAACAACAAAATTATTCATATCACTTACAAATTTTAGGTTTTTTTATTTTTCTGAGGAATGAAAGGTGATCATATAATATTTGGGCCATATTTGAATACTTTAAGCTGTCAGGTATAAACGGCCTTGGTTTTATCTCATTTGCCTAACAGAGAATGCAATATTGTTTAAATTCTTACATGTTCAGAATTATTCATACCCTTTACCTATGAGCCCTTATTCTTGATTGCAGCATCCAGGCACTTTGTGTAGCTGTTCATGAGGGTTTGACACAGCTCCATGGCAATCTTGGCCCATTCTACCGTGGCGAAGACCTTCAGCTTTTTCTGGTTGGGGGACCTGCGGCATGCACATTAGACTTTAGGGTTTTCCACAGGTTTTTGATGAGTTTCATGCCTGGGCTTTGGCTTGGCCATGGTAGCACCTCCATGTTGTTAATCCTGGAACAATTTCTTGACTGCCGTTGCCATATGTTTAGGATCATTGTCCTGTTGGTACGTTACATGTATGTCCAGTTGAGGCTAAGATGGAGATTTTCTGCAGACTGCTTGACATTGTCCTGCAGAACCTTGATGTACTACTTCTTTATAATTCCTTCCACTTTTACGAGATTGCTAGGCCCACTTGCAGAGAAACATCCCCACAACATGATGCTTCCAAGTCAAAACTTCAAAGTGGGCATAGCGGTCTTTGGGTTGAATGTTTCACCTTTCTTGTGCCAAACGAAGGAAACAGCCATGTGTCCAAACAGCTCCATTTTCGTCTCGTCTGACCATAGAACTGATGCCTAGAAACTTTTATTCTTGTCTCAGTGTCCCCTGGCAAATGTTGGTCGAGCATTTCGATGCCTGTGAGGAGAGGGGTCTCTCTTGGACGACACCCATGTAGCCCTTCCTTGTGCAGTGTGAAGTGGATTGTCTGTGTTGAAATCTTGGTGCCCATCTCACCCAGATTTTCCTGAAGTACCTTGATTGTTCTGGGGTTGGAAAGGGCCTCACGGCACACTTTCCTAACCAGCCGAGGAGACATGTCCGGCTTCCGTCCACGCTTGTTGATGTTTTTCACAGTACTGAAACTCTTATACATGTACATGTACTTCTTGATGATGCAACGTACAGTGGAAATTGGTACTATGAAGAGCTTTGAAATAGCTTTATAGCCTTTCCCATCTTTATGAGCACTCACAATGCTCGTGTGGAGATCCCTGCTGAGTTCCGTAGTTTTTGGCATGTTCACAACAACTGAGGAAGACTCCACGATTGTACTTTTATTTATTCTCTAAAAGAAGAGTACTGACAATGACAGTCCACAAATCTAATGCAAAAGATAGTATTCATAACAGATTCCTGGAGGATGTATGCATTGTTGCATTGTATATTTATATGCAGAAACCTAAGAATATCTGGAGCATGTGCATTTTGGTGGAATGTGGCCAAATATCATGACATGCAGAAGGGTATGAATAACTCTGAGCATGTCAGAATTTAAATAATGTAGCATTCTCTTTTTTGTGCAAATAGGGTAAAACAAAAGCCTTTGGTCATTTCTACATAAACCTGGCAACTAAAGTATTGAACTATGTCCCAAATATTTGTGCCCACCTTTCGTTCTTCAGAAAAAACACAAAAACCTAGAGGTGTTAAGGGGTGTGAAGAATTTTGTCGTTAACTGCAGTAGTATTTTAATGTGTGTACATGTTTGTTTTAACGGTATTCGGATACAAATTCTAATGTGACCCCTTGATCTGGGTTTTGTGTGGCAAAAACAGTTATGCTTCCTGTTCTCTTGTCAATTTGAGTTGCTGATACCGTGTTGAAATGCAGTTTGACCACCTTTAAGCTTCTTCTCAGTACTTCCTGCAAAAGTCTGGGGGAGATTGTGATACAATTACAGCATCAATTGAAATTGTTTCACAGTTGGTCTTGGGACAATGCTTGACGGTGGAACCGTGTGAAATGTTTTAGGAGGGAGTGGGTTCTGAATAAAAGCGGTGAACTCAGTCTTTCGAACAGTATGCTCTGTCCTTCGTTGTCAAATTGCTCTTGCTTTTACAGGAACGTTTGAACGAGATTTACCGTTTGCATTAGCATTCATAGCAAAGGAATGCTATGATTTTGAAAAAAATTCAGATATGTTATACGATGACACTTTTTACATATTGCACTTAGTACCATTGAGGCAATTTAATCCATCTGCATCTCTCTCACTTCTTCCTCATTGTATCTAGTCGCAGACCAGAAAATTAAGTGCCATGCTTGATACTGAAATACATTCTTGATTAAAAATTTCAGAACTACGCAGAAGCCTTGTAGATCTTCATGGAAGACATCCAATTAAACGACTGTTTGTCATTTTTTCATTTTGTGTTCAGTCTTAGGGAGATTACCAGAACTGGCCCAATGGTTATCACACTGAGATAAACCTCTGATACCTCTGAAAACTAACTAACGGCGCAGTTTAGCGGACATACATGTATTTCCTCTACATCTCAGAAATTCAACTTAGCCTCACAGTTTTGTTCAGTACTACTGAAAGTTCCATTCAGAACCGTACAGGGCATGTGTTGCAGACCTTTCGACAAATAATAGAAAAGTGAAGGCAAGCGATAGTAAAATTTGCTCAACCTTCCCATTTAGCCAAGCTAACGATTCAGGGAAGATTTGCCTAATTTTCAGTTAGTCCAATTGATAGTTTCAAAATTATTTGCCTAACTTGCAATGAAGCTAGTTTACGATTGATCTTTGTGTAACTGTCCACATAGCAAGTTAACGGTCGAGCAACATTTGTTTAGCTGTCCATTGATCCTGCTATCAGTCAAGCAAGATTTGCAGAGCTGCCTGTTTAACTTGCTTATCTGCCTACCTTTCCTGACTATTAATGCATTGAATGGAAGTATGGGAGAATGTTTTCTTGACTGCTGGCAAACATTCGAGCTAAGGGTTACTAGAAGGTAAAAAAATACAGAAAAAAGACAAGTGTAAGAAAATGGGTGTTTGCATTGCAATTCTGATTGGGAGAGGTTGTATGCATCTGGAACATGGGATGGAGACAGGAATTCCCAAGTCCGAATTACATGTACTAAACGAAAGCAGAATACTTTTACACGGCTTGGAACAGGGACGTTTACGTTTGAGGCAACTTTGATGCATAGTGGCGCTTAGGCTCTATTCCATATTTTCGTGCGTGTCACACCATAATCGGGAAACAGCTGGACAACTCTTTATTAAAGACTATGTAGCATTCTGAGTAGGTGTATAATTCATCATTTATTTGACAAAGCAGGATTTGAAAAACTCGCCAACATGTCTTTAACTATCCTTCCCCCTGGATACGGTACTGATTGAGAAGTGCTCGTATATTTGATATATTCCTCTGAATAAGAATGGCAAAAGTGACAGACAGAGTCGGACCACTTGATGTCAGGTGGTGCTTTCCGTGGTCACAAACGCATACAAACTTGTTCAAACAGAATTAAGTAGTGAACGGTAAAGCGCTTGTTCAATATGATAGTGACTTTCGAAACAAACTGGACCTCTTTACCGAACAATAATTCTTTTTCTGGAACCCAGTCGTCTTCGCTTTGGCGACGTTCTTATTTATTTTGATGGCACTAGAATGAGGCGAAATCTGGATAAAGTGACGTCACTAGGATGAGATTTTTCGGAGCCACCAGGATCGTGCACATTTATTTTTTATGTGGCACTGAAAGCAAAAGAACTGCGGTTTGTACTCTGCTTCTGCTCACCTCATGCATGATTTCAAATGGGAGATGGGGATTAGCTGGAGCGTACGGACATCGGCAAGGGGGGGTATGCCCCATTATACTGTCTGAATCCGGTGTACATCTCAAACAGACGAAGAACATACCTAGACGCTAAACAATCTTATAGAGCTGTACAATCTGGATGGAAAATATTTCTTGATTGAAAGTTTTAACAGTCTACTTACGGTATCTCTTTACGCAGCGCGCTAAATCGCCGGGAGCGTCCCTTGAATCACTCTTTTGGCTGGAATAGGTAAATTTGGTAGCATACCTAACTAATACCACAAAGATGAAGAGCAACAAATATTTGGCATCACTAGCCATATTTCCTGACGAGCAGAAGAGGAACATTAAAAAAAGAATACAGTCATTTTAAAGAGTGCGTATCCCAGCTGCACGCTGTCACATTTGGTAAGTTTGCAAGTTTGATGTGGAAGTCTTGAAGCTGACTAGGCTGGGAGTGGACAAATATATGAAAAGGTGAACGCGAAAAGCGAGTTGAGGCCCCTACATATCCCAAACTACTGCAGCCGTTCTCGAAACTCAGATCAATTAAGAGTGCTCGATGTTATAAGGTCTTAGTATGCGACCTTAGGCTTGCCATTTCAGAATAGAATTGGTGACAACATTGAGAGGATGTATTCCAAACGTAAGAGGGCACGTTACAGGAATGGTGCTCTGGCAATTTTATTTAACAAAAGAAATGTTTATCACGAGTTTCCCATTTGGTATTTTAACAGCATGAAGTCTATTTTGTTCACGAGGTCCGTCAGCTTCGGGACGATGCTCAGCAGGCCGCGGTAGAACTGCCGCTCCTCCGGTCCCTCGAAGTACTCGTCCGGTAGCGCCTCCACGCTCGGGTGCTCCAACTTGGTTAGGTCGGTGTCCCGATTAGTCAGGTTGGCCCACGTGGCCAGAATCACCTCCAGGTCCTCCCTGGTCCTCCGTTGCCGCGGGTTCTCCATATCCTCGGGGAGCTGACGCAGCGTGTGGTAGATGTTCATCTTTACGTGCTGACGGAGGAGCCGGAAGTTGTTCAGGTTGCTCAGGAAGGTGTTCAGCAGTGAACGTAGGTCGATGGCCGGCAGGTCGATTGTCTCATCGAAGGTCCATGATGAAATGCATCCCTCAAGCATCCGGAGAGAGGAGAAACACTCGACCTGGTAAGTATACAATTGATCATGAAATGTCAATTGTTGTGTAGAGTTTGGCCAATTTCCAAGTCTTCATTGTTTCTATGAAGGTGACATAAGTGCATTTATCTTTCTATAAGAAAGTTTATACGTGTTAAAAGAATCTTTAAATATCTAAATGCAGTGATGAACACGCTCGGTTTGGAACTTGAGGCAGTGGTTCGGGTGGCACTGGGCTGCTGCCTCAAATGCTTCCCTGAACATCTCATGTCATGTCTATAATCAACTTTACCTGTTCGGGTCTGACCCTCCGTAGTGCCTTGATGAAGTATCGCATGGCCTTGTCGAATTTACTGGTGCAGACCAAGGTAGCGCTGAGCTGCTCCTGGTAGTACTTGTGGAGTTTCCCAACCAGCCGCAGAAACTGCGCTTTCTGCTCGGCGGCCTCTGCAGGAGGAAAGAAAAAGCTGAATGAGATAAAAGCACAGGTAGCTACCAGCAGTCTGACATTGCCTCCATGCTGACTGCCTTTTGGGCCACATTTCGCGTGCAACTCATCTTTGAAGCCATGATAGATAATGAGATAAATTTGGGTAGGCCCAGCCTGTTGAGTGAGACCCTTGCGAATTAACTGAGCCCGATATGGTTATCTAAGATTTGTCTGACTTCTTAAGGCTGGACTTTAGCTGTTGCGGACACAGTGAGAAAGGTTGCACAGTACACGCTTATGATTTTACATATGGTTCTTCATTTTGTAAACTTCACTAGGACATGAAATCCAGTTTCCGGCGGCTCATGACACACAAATGCACATCATTTGGAGGGAATTGGCCACTAGATCTTTTTATCGCGTATTTATCGCTATGTGCTTTATGCCAAATCTAAACCGCAAGGGGAAGCCCAGGTCCCCGTATTGGCTAGCGGGCCTAAGCCTGACTGTAAGGCAAAACTAGCTTTATGTACATGTACATCGCGCGGTCTAATTAAGAACCGTCCTTCGGGGCGTTTACAACCCTCTATTTTGTATTCTACAAACAACTTGAAAAAGCAGAGTTATGCCGGGTCAACCGACGAATTTTTGGTAGGAATATCTTTCTGTACGTCTTATCAAAATACGGCGTTAAATGTAGCAGCATGGAGATGAGAAATTATGGGGTGCAATAGAAGACGACAACTTTACTGACCGCTGCTTCGACGATTGTCAAAGTCTGCATCGTCCTCCCACGAAGCTATGGAAAAAGCCGTCATGATGCTGTCTAGAGAACTTCCATGGGGTTCACATACTACATTTAATTAATATGCCATGAGAACATGTGGATTACACTTGTTGTAGACCACTTAATGTGTGTGATGTGCATTCGCTGCTAATGCTTACACGAACCGTGTCTACGAACTTGCGCCTCAGCTCCGCACTTTACACAACTGTCACTTGTCGACTAAAACAGCTTTAAAAGTGGATCATGTAATTTGGATGTTAAATTCGTCCAGGTCGCCGGCTGCTATTTTGGAATTCATCATCCAAAGTGTGACTGTTCACTTGTCCCGACTCTGAATCTCGCAACGATGAACGTCAAACTTAGTAAAGGTAGCCTGGACTTTCCCTTCAGCGATCACGAGGCGTGGCGCTTGTCTGCATCACAAGTTTCCCAGGCCTCTTGTTTGCAACAGCTAGGTCGGCAACTCGTTAAACCTTTGAACACATATAAAACCCACTCTGTGTTTGATCTAGCGCTGTAGCCAGTCACAGTGGTCCCATCATGGTCCCATTCATCGCCATTAGTGACCAGTATGGGACTCTCAAAAGCAAACGCCGCCGATCAAATAGAGAGGCATGTTTTTTCAGACATATAATTGTGTTGATTGCACCTCTTGTGGACCCCTAAATTTGTTGACACAATCAAAACCATTGTTACATTCTTGGATAGTGTGCTCTTACTCATTTGCCTGACACAGTAGGCCTACATGGGTCATAATGTGTATTTTCAATTCCATGTAGATGGGACTCGTCTTGGAAAATAAATCGTCAGCCCTTAAAAGTAGGATTTTTCCATCTTCAGCGACCAGATTGGGTAATTAATGTCTTCATCCTAAAGTGGACAAACATTTGCAATGGACATGAATTTAATTAATGTAATGCTGTTGGCTGTCGTATGGTATTCATTAAACGTAGGCTACTCTCCAAATAGTGAAACGGGGACATCATAAAAGAATATTTTCAGTAACCAGAGCTTGTGAAAGTTGTACAAAATATGCCATTGTCAAAACGACCTAGACATAACAACAACTTCTTTGTTTGCGAACATCGTGAAATGGCATTCTGGGGTCATGAATAGAATGTGAGGGCAACATAATTCACCCCGGAGTACCTATCGGGCGGAACATAGGTTAGTGGGGGTAGACCCGTGCAAACTGTATACATGGTGCAAAAAAATGAAGGAAATGAACAGTGTAGGCCTACAGAGAAAGTAGCTTGGATTTTCGCATATAAACGGCGCCTATCAGATTCAGCCTGTCTATATTTGATCTTGCCATGCATCCTCGAAAAACAATGGACGATAAGGCACTTTGCGTCAGACGCCATCCGATGTACTGATAGCCTAAAGGGCGGCGCAACCAAACTGCAGTATTTTCATCAATAGAATTCCGATGAGATTTTAATGAGATAATTATGAATTGTGCGATACGGGTCTGCTTTGTGGAGAATTATTAGTTAAGGCAAAGTTCGTGTTGTCACGTGCGTGTATTAAATTAAGAGGCCTTTTTTGCCTTGTAAGTTGTTTGTTGAGGATACGTTCAATACATATTCAATTGAGAGAATACATCGTATATTGAATACTTTCAGAGACGGAACACAGTCAAATTGTCTTCTGGCGCTCTACAGAGTTTTTCGTTGGCAAAAACTTGTCAGTATGCCAAACGGAACGTGCTGTTTTCTACTTCAAGCTTGTTGTTTTACAACAAACGGAATTTGTTTTTAGAGCGGTTCTTGTCCTCTGTGACCAAAAACAACGCATCGAATGTTTTATTGCAACCTCATTTTGTTCTTAGGTGCCTGCCAGTACAGTGTTTCACTCCTAGATTTCGGGAGGGGAACACCCTCATTTGAAAGCGACGGGATGCAAGTACAGGTACATGTAGATTAACCACGAAAAGCCAAGTGTTTCCTACTTCGCCGTCTTTCACCGTCTCTTGCCTTTGTTATTTGCCCAATTTCACACATTATCTGTTCCTTTCTCAAAATATTGTACATTCAGGAGCGCGAACCACGTTGTTGCTATATTTCATCCGTTGGTTGTTTTCATGGAGCAGGACATATTTTGCTCTGAGGCAAAATATATGCATGTATCCAAATATCTTCGACCGGAATCTTGATTTCTTCTCTTGCTAAATCCCGCGGATATTGGTTTCAAAATTCAATTACATCCAATTAACGCCCCAAAGTTCAGGGCCCTGCAATTTCCGAGGCCTTAACCTCGGTAGTGAATGGCAGTCTCTTACTCCGATATAGGCAAGCTAAAAATATAACAAAAGTTATTATGTACAGTCAACCAAAAACTGAATTTGATTTGGCCTAGTTGCCGCCTCACAGATGGAAAGCTATATTACTACTCAAAATTTACGTTGTTCGGTGCGTAAATTTCAGATCTGTAGAAGACAGACCTGTTCCAGAGAACATTTAAACAACGGTAGTTATCGAAGCAGAAAAGAACGTGTATTTTGGCACGTGCCAAAAGACATTAATACTCTTTACGAAAAAATATTTATGCCCGACTTTCCTAGATGTTGCCGCCACCGCCTCATTTTCTCGTCAATGATATCTCGTTGTGATTGTACAGTATCACATTCATTATCCGTTTCAACATTTAATATCATCCGTTTAATCTTTATGCTTTTACCACTTCTGCGCTGATAGTTATGTCTTACACTGATTACGTTGGAGATTTTGTTCAGATTTCCGTATATGATTCTACTTTTTATCGAAAATATTGGAAACATAACTCTACACAAGGGCTCATTTTGTGCGTGTCATTGTTTTGTATATGTGTCTAGTCCCGTCTTTCCAAAGATTGAAACGAAGGACGAAACGATTCAGAGTAAACTTCACTCCGACTTTACATTAAAATAGTTCAAAAGGACCACTTCTCGTTCTGAACTCAGCGAAATCTCAATGTACTTGAAAGAGGAAATGAATAAGTGACGGGAATCCGTCTTTTCCGTACAAGGGGCCATTAGTTTCAATCGGTGGGAGTAACTTCTTACTTGAATGGAGTGACGCAGTTTTCTTCAAGTGTCGTGAATTTTCACTCTTAGGAATTCAGAGGGTTGGCGATTTGCAGAAAAGTCTTGTTAAACAAGACGAAGTGAGCTAGCGTCATCTCAACTTGATTTCCGATTGCCTAAAAGAACTACCCCATGGGTGTCAAGACAGATCGAATCATCAGTGTACAGCATCGACAATTGTCAGAGCGCATAATTAAGCTCACCGATGCTAACTTTTGCTCTTTTAGAATAAATAGTACCACCGATGCAGTGTCCTCGCTTACAAATCTGTTTGAGGTGTTCCCACACAGTATTTTTGTTTCATCCAGAAGCATAAGTACATTTTGAAAAGAAATGTGGCATAATTACCCGCTGCAGGCGTAGTCTGTTTCGGTGGTGGGTATAGACGGTTGAGGTAGTCCATGTTCAGCTGACAGCACAGCCTAAATGCTATGTCAAAAAACGGCAGGACAGCTCCAGTCCAGCGACCCAAACCCGTGAGAATACGAGGGTACTTCACACCCGTTGCCTCTTAGCAATCGGCCAGCAACCCTCAACTCTTCACCCTGGATGTGCGCGAATGCCACAGTCACCCTAGGAAGGTCTCCATTGAGCGAGTTGTTAGTGGTTCACGATTTGATGGCAACAGAAGACTGCAGGTACATTTTTTCAAGCTATGCGATCGTCTGTTGAGTCCACCCATTTTCAAGTTGCCTGCAATTAAAGTGCTGAGAAAATTACCCACACAAACACTGCATGTACATGTACTTTCGCACGCCGTCGTTGGCCTCAACATATGCTACTTTCCTAGGAAAGGCTCTGTCTTTAAGAAGAGAAGGAAACGAACTTAAGGACCGCGCAAAACACTTTGCCATGATCCGGTCCAAGGTTTACTCGCACAGACCATGACAACTGCTGGTTACAGAACCCGAAAATACTTCCGAGCAAGATGTGATTCGTCGACCTAACCTGGATGTAGAATAACCGCCTTCGGGTCCATGTGCATACATGTGGTGACTGACTCGGTGTAAGAATAATAAGCACTCCCTTGGGCTGTAAGAAACTACAAAACACACTCCCGTACCCCAAACGCACCGCCAGTCGACCCCTACTGTCCAAATTCTCGCTGGGTCGCCGTTTTCTACACGCGACTCGGTGCGCCGTTTTCAATTTGCTCGAATTTGACCTTTGCTATGGAATTCACAAGTTGTTAAAGGAAATGTGGTTGTTGTTAGCACTTTACGTGCACTTAAAACCTCGTCAAAACACAAACTGGGTTAGCATTCCAAGTTGACAAGTACAAAGAGTGGGCGGATGTCTATAATCCAGTTTGTTTGTTTGTTTGTTCAAACCCAAAATACCACTGCACGTTAAAAACAATGTTGTCATATAAAAGGTTGCCACATGCAAAAAAAGGTAACTCGAAGGAAAATACAAAATTTGATCAGGTGTATACCGTCCGGCCCAAAACTGTTGCACACAAGTAATATTTGAACCACCTATTTGCATATTGAGGTAAATATGACGGAAAGGTCAGTTTTTGTATATACCGTATACAGAATGTGACTCGCCTTTGTGACGTTATTACACAAAGAAAAATGCTGCGAAATGGACGTGGTACTCATAATAACAAGTATCTGGTGGCAAAGTATTTTCTTAGCGGGCGTACATGTACATATGTACCCTTGGGAATGACGCCACTGGAGAAAAGTGCCTTGCTTGGGGACACAGACACTGGTTGATTTTAACCCATATGCGCACTGTTTAGTTGTCCGTAAACCACTAAGAAAAAGCTGCTTGTGCAGTGTTGGCTCGGATGGCCAACTTCAGATTTGTATAACTCATCGGCCCTGTCGTGTAATGGCACCATCAACTTGAGGTTTAGGTCATTATCTCAGTGACTCAGGATACATTCATATTTGCAGATCAAGTTTCCTTATCCGGTGCAAACATCTTGGTGCTGGGCAACGGGTTGAAGTGGGTGTTTTGTGTAATCAAATTAGAAATCTTGTTGGATACCAAAACGAGGTTTAATCAGCAGTTGCATGGCCGGGGTCAAAGGCCAAGTTAACCTGAGGCTGTTTTGTGACGTTCCTCTGGCAACATTAAAATCGGCAAAGTCTAACACGTACCGTACCTCATTCTCTCGTCAGTGGAATGTTTCCTTTTTCCTGGTAGCAACCGGCGGATATTATTCCCCACTTTTATCAGATCGTATTTAAGATAACGACAACAATCAATTTGTCAATTTTAGCTGACAATGATTGATGTACATTGACTGATTACAATAAGCCAGGAATGGACATGCAACCATATACTTCTTAGTCTTGGTTTCAAGACGTTAGTGCTTGATGGCGGACTGTGCGCAAGTGCCAGTAAGGATAAACTAGTTGTGCAAGGGCACTCTTCAACAGAAACAAAACAACTATCGGTCACCGACGTCTTGGGCCAAGACTATATACTTCCACACTTGAGTTTTGTTTTCGTCATGCAGAGAACACACCAACGCTTGCGTTAATTGGTATTTGCGTTCCTGTCCAATGTAACTTGTTAGTGGTGACGGGGTGAATGCGGAAAATTGCCTGACGTGTCATAGTAGCATCAATGCGATGACGCAGTGAATATAATGTGCACATTGGACGAAGAAAATTCGTACTCAACGCTATATCCATGCAACCCTGTAGAGCGCGAGCGGTTTTCATCGGCACACTGGACTTCTCATCAGTGATCATGCAGCTTAACATGACTTGTTTCAGTGTGGAGTCAACCCGTGCCCTGATAAGAGGTACAAAGGGGGCATCACGTGGTACTCAAACTGGAGTGGACTGGGGAGGGGGGTTCACAATACGGAATAACCTCCACAAGGTCCAGATCGACTAAAACGTACTGCTCTGCGGGTGTAAAGAATTGACCTAGTCGGTCGGGAAGAGGCAGCAGGATTCGATGCCGAAAATAAGAACAGGGACGTGAATGTTGAAAAACTTGGCGACAGCACAAACGACATTAATTTCTACCATTTAATGTATAAGAGGAATGCTGACCCGATTTTTTTTTTGGGGGGTGCGGAAAATTTGGAGGCATTTAAGCGAGTACAGTTGGCACAATGGTGTTTTCTTCCTCTTTTGTGACCACCTGGGTCGAACCCCCTCCCACTCTGAGACCAAGACAATGTAAAAAAAAATGAAAATAATTTTGAAATAGCCAAAGTGTACAAAGGTTAGTGCACCAATACCATTGCACACAATGTATGCCATGTAATGTTTCATCATGGTTTCCCTTGTCCGCAAAAACGAGACATTAAGGAAAAACCTACGACCTGACAGTCCCCCCCCCGGAAAAATTCCTGGATCTGCACCTAGTTTTTCCCGTTGAGTTTATCTTGGAATTCTCCTCCCACGTTAAAAACTGAGCATTTCTTCATTGTCTTCCAACGGCCTTCCAGGTACAACAGTTCAATGGTAATTGTTAATGCTAACCTAAGTATTAAGTTTAGGTTATTTAATTACGGCGGAAAAGATTCTTGATGCATTTATGTTTTAAATGATGGAGGGGAGTTGCACTGTGTTCCATGCTCTTCGGTTATCCGATGGCGTCGGCGCTCTTCCGTTGCCCTTGATTCGTTGCTTTGCCCGTATGCTCGTCTAACTTCAGTTCTTCTTTGTAACGTGTTGTGACAGCTTTCCAGTTTTCAGAGCCACAGTTACAGAGCAAACATCACAGCCAACACTCCCATCAAGTTTTTCTGCACATCTTTCACCAATAAGATGTGAGTAAAACTCGAACTATTCTTTATTTTCACCCTTAATTGTTTTATTGCATATTCCACTTTTTTGTTTAGCCTGCCTTCCTACAGGATACTTTTCTAATGCGTGCAAGACAGACAGCTTTACTTACATGCGAAGTATGTACATGTAAACTGTTATAGCGATGACACTGGGTGCCATCAACATAATACAAAATAAAACTCATATAAACATCTTCAAATCTGAAACAGCAAACCAACAAACCAAATATATATTTTAAATCTATCGATGGCAATGTATCAATCAGCATGCACAGAAATGTCAACCATATAAACAGGTGAGCCTTATAGCCAAAACATAAAGGTAAATCATATTTGGGTATATATAATACACGTAAAACCATAATTTAGCGAAAATTGTATCTGATTCGTGTAATTATTTTATATAAAAACTTTTTTCAGCTGCCTATAAAGCTACTTACAGAGGAATGATTTAAGCGTGAAGATTCTGACAGAAAATTAACGGTGAAGTTAGATACCAGTATTTCACATGACATTGACTGATCTGGTGGGAGCAATCGGTCAAGTGCAGTTAAATGCCTACAGTTTTAAGGTTTCTGGGATTTTCACAGTCATGTAACGTGACGTTTTTATGGACCTCACGGAAGACCACAAAGAGTCAAGGGATAAAAATGTCTATGAAACTTTGTTGTTTTGTTGTTGGTTGGTTTGTTTTGTTCCTGTGTGTTCGGCCGGGGGGGGGTCGATAACCTATTAATGTGACAGCGTCAGATGAAAGGAGCAATGAACATTGTCCTGTTATGTCAGCATACAGGAATGTGAAATGGTTACGGAATGTGATACATACGTGCCTATGATAACATACCTCAAGATATCGAGATAATCGAGCAAGCACTGGCTGACCACAGCCAGTTCGGATTCGGTACGGCACTGAACATATCCATTGTAATTGGAGGCACACATTCACGGTTTGAGAGAGTAAAACGCCAACTACTACTTAAGATGTCCATGCGGTCTATCGAGGAATTGACGGCTGGAACCTTTGATACAAAAGATTAGAACTTTCTGGGATTACTCTGTCGAATAAGAACGTAAAAAGTATTGCTCTAGTCATGTCTGATATATTTACACATAAAATAAGGAATATTTACACTCAAAAATGCATAGAAAGCAAAAATGTGCATGATTCAAAGATCACCATTTATGGCACTTGTTTGCTCGTAGCCACTACCCGCGCGCCGTTGACGGTTAATCTCTTCAACAAAATACTGCAAACGAAACGCAAAGTATTGTTAGAATCTTTTGCCGTAATTCATTAAGTTAGGCTGCACATCCGAATCTGTTGTCTAGAGCTAGGCCTGGGTCTTAGCTCCATTGGAAGTACGCAACGACACGCTGACAATAGATGTAGCTTTAACTCTGGAAGCCCTCTCAGACAAGTCTTATGTCAATGGGATTGTTGAGCTCCAAGAAATTAGTTGTCACCACAGCTAGGGCGACGGATACTAGCAGAGGCACTTTGTATAACTGTATGATAATTGCACAAAAGGCTCAATAATTATCTAACATCTGCAGCTATCGTTACTTGAAGAACCGTTTTGATTGTTATGATTTTGACACAACCTTCCCAACTTAAATGACGCATGGGGTCGCAAACGTTAAATTTTCTCATGTTTCGACCCGAGTCACCGAGTGGTGGCTCAAACCACAGTAATAGTGTTAATATCATTGTGCCCCGGGTTCTGTTCGCCCTCAGTCCAGGTGATGATTTCCGTGAAACGGGCCTCCACGCAGTGCGCTGTGAGCCGAGCCTCTGGGTCGCTATCCCAGCAGTCCTCCATGGTAGCCGATACAAGCTGCATCCCCTTTAAGCCATCACACAAAAACAAACGCACATAAAATCAGATTTCCTGTCTCACCATCAATGACAACAAATCCCAGCTCATGACTTCATTTCATTTTTAAACTAATTTTTCCCGCCCAGTGCCTATTTGCCAAGACTTTCCAGTCCACACGCACACTGAATATTAATTTAAAGATTACTGCTTATCGCCATTGTACACAACCACACAGTTGCATTCTTTGTACAAATTAACCAGGTTTTAAAATGATGGTCCCTTATACAGTCAACGAACTGATATTTGTCATAGATTGGTTGATGGTGGTGTTGTTTGGGGTTACAGTGGATTTTCTTACCGTATTTTCACTCCACGAAGGTGGGATGGTGGGCCGTTCTCTCTGCAGTGCAACTACCGTCTTCATGTCCTCGATGTTCGCCCTACCGGCGACGCTGTCAAAAAATGGGAGCTGGTGCTCCGGTGCTGCTGACACCACTGCCAAAAAAAAAATAGTCACAGCATTCCCCTTCGAGTTTTTATTTGAGGGGGGGGGATTCAAATGATTTTGTTAAATCTGCTTCGATACAAACAATTGTGTCTGGTGGACTAATACCGTCTCCCCTAATTGCACGATACACGTACAGTCTAGATATTGACCTCGGGAAGTTGCGAGACTAGACGAGAAATGAAGATTTCCGGTGCCTCCACGCAACGAGAACATGTACTCAATCAAAATTCTTGAGGTATGCTTTTATGTGAATGTCGTATTTCATAACTGTACAAAAGTAAATGGGGTCAAATTTGAAACTTATTGGGTATTTCTAGCTATTTTATCGTGTAAAACAAAAAGTTCTGTTAAAAATGCAAATGAACATACACAAAAACCACAACGACGCGCGCGTGTTCAGGCTAATGCATAATGAGTTAGTGAAAATCGGCAAAAAATCGGGCACCTGAAATATAGCCAATCGACCCTGTACATGCTGAACGGCCTTTACAGTGTATGTTCTTAAAAATCGAGTGCCATTCTGTATTCGCGACCATAAACTGTGATTGGCAGTAGTTTTCACCAAAATGGCACTTTGACGCTTAGCATATTAACCACCAGAGGCCTTTCTTTAGCTACGCTCCAGCCGCACATTTTGCCACCAACGGTTTGGTAAACCAGGGTGGCAATTGTGGGAATACAATAGTAGGCCTACATGCAATGAGAAGAATTTTAACATAGTGTGAGCTGTATAATTATGAAAACGCCACGCTGGCCAAAGACGTTGCCAGCATAGTTATCAAGAACCTGGTTCTGTTAATCTTTCAGAAGGTTAATTTCATTTCTAGATGGCGGCCTCACGGTGTGGCCCAGGTTTGCTGCAGAATCACCGAGAAGCTGTTTATGAAAATGATCCCTTTGCATACAGCAGATGTAAGCGCATTAATTATTTTGATGCAGAGAGAAGGAATGCACAAAACATCTACTCGCGCGTATCCCTGTTGAACAACAGCAGGGGTAAATGCTCTGAAAGTGAACCAGTGAGAACAACATGACAAAATGAGACCGTACATCGCAATTATTTTGCTACGGCTAAAAATTACGTATGTGCCAGTAGAGACCGCAAGCTAGGGTCTTCGTGCATTTCCTGTATAAACACAAGATATTTCCAGCCTCTTAACAAAAGAATTTGGACGCAGCCTGCAAGATTAATTGTCAGTTTTCATTTTTCTGATGGGAACAACAGCGCCCCCTGTTGTCCACGAGGCCAAGACAATAGCAATCGGTGAAAGTGGTGGCCAATAGTCTGGCAATCCACTTATAGGAACACACACCCAGACACCCCAAATCAGTTGGACAGGAAGAGCGCTTGTCAACCTGAATCAGTTCGACTAGCAACACGCACATGGACATGCACCGGACGCGGCCGTCCGAATGATTGCGTGATGTTGTGCCGATCCGAACAGGTTTTGATTTCCACATTCTCAACTTCCTCTAACGGATCTCTCCTTCTGTAGGTCAGGGACAGGAACCGGGAGGTTAGCTTAAATACACACAAATAATCCGAAGCCTGTGGTCATAAATGTACCGCTTATATGGATTTTGATTGACGCACAGTGTGGAAACAATTTGAAATGTTTCACAGCATAAGCCTGATCTGCCATCGGCGTTTGCACCAGACGCAACTATAATTCAAACTGCCCACTTCGACAAAATTGGTCTGCGACTCAGGCATACTTGAACGGCCAATTAAGGCGTATTTGGACGATATCTCGTAAACATATTTCTAGACGGTATTCATCGCTGCCGGCGACAATTTCCCTCCCTAAAACCATGGTAAAAGTGCCAGTATAAATTCTAGGTCGCAAATCTTTACAGCCCAAATGCGCTTTTTCATACACGCGTTTTCAGTGTCCCTTGTGTCTGTTTTCATAAGTTGCACAAAACGTTCATTGAAGTAAAGTACAGGAGTGAAACGCGGCAAACAAATTATCAAATGCGGGTGCGGACAAAAACACACACGTACAGAAAAGCTAATATTGTAACATTGTGACCGCGTGTAGCGTTAATACATGTAGGACTGTCGACAGTTAGCTGAATGACACAAAGTTATTTCCAGAGTCAAGCCTTCTTCTCCGGTCAAATTTTACATCAAAAAGTCCTTGTCAGCATAGATTGCAAGGGTAAGTTACTTTGAATCTGTTGGAATAACAAGTCTTTAGGGCTGAGTTAATTCGAATAACTCACTTTTCGAATATTCGACCTTCAATTCGATCGAATATTCGGTCTTACCGACTGGCAGATTCTTGATTATTATAACCATATACAAAATCAGTTGTAACAACGCACACAAATATTGTACATTGTAATCACAATAATAGCTTCTCACGTCTAGGAGTATCCTCAGCCACGATTTAGCAAGATTTAAGAGACAAACAATACTTCTTGCCCTGTTCAAGATTTCTATTCCTTTTGTATTTCTGTTACATTTTAAATAAAAAATTTACTTTTTGAGTCGTTGAAAGATTTCTGTCGCTTTTCATTTAAATCTGCTGGAAACAAGCCTCCATAGTGCAATTTTTATCATTAAAAACAAAAGAAAATTCCCCATATCCTTTTAATGAATTTTGCATTCGAATATTCAGATTCGGAAAATAATACTCGTTTGGAAATTTGGGTATTTGGCACAGCCTTACAAAACTTGGCTTTTATCATGACCTAATACCAGGTTCGGGAGTGTTATACAATTCCTGCTTACCGTCGCCAATGTGGCATCGTTTTGCTATCTCCCAAACGATGAGACTGAGAGAGTACACGTCCATCTGTTTAAAGGACTCGATGTCGTGAAGGTTGACTTTGCTCTCCAAGGCTTCAGGGGCCATGTAGCGGGGGGTTCCCGCCTGGGGGATGAAGGAAGAATGATTGAAACGAATGGTCCAATAGATTTGCTCACATTCTGTATAGACATGCAGTGGTAAATCTTTCCGAACCTCCGTCCTGTTGTTCAGCAAATCATAAAGGGTTAAAAAATATCCCGATGAATTAGGTTTGCTGGATTTCAGGTGATTAACTCGAATCTGTTTCCCTGTATGGTTGTTAAAGAAAACACAGGATGAATCAGAACTCTTGGCATTCAAAGTGGATTCCGCTTGGCAATAGATTTATCTGTAAGCGCATGCGTCATTGCCGACCGTAGGGGGTCTCAGTACTTTGGACGATTGAGACAAGCTAGTACTAAGTTTTTAGTTCCAACACCAACGGCACAGTTTATTGAGAAACCCAACGCCTACCATTGGTCAAGGTAAAGTTTCCTTGTAGGCCTATAAAGGTACAAAGTGTCTTTTGGTAGGATAGAGTTAATGAGCTCCTCTTGATTTGCCCTGCATAACTTTTCACATCTGCCTGCTGTTCCACCTACCTGACCGCTATTTGCCAATTGGTCAATAGACAGCGTCGGGTCTAGTTGTATAGACAATCCGAAGTCTGCTATGGCGCACGTCCCGTCATCTTTCACCAGCACGTTGGAGCTCTTCAGGTCCCGGTGAGCCACGGGGACCTTGTGGAGGCCATGCGGCCCGTATACCTCGGCGTGAAGATGTGCGACCCCGCGGGCCGTCGTGCCCGCCAGCCGGCACAATTCCTGCCAGCCAACAGTGTGATGCTTCAGGTACTGGTACAGTGAGCCCTTAGAGTAGTACCTGGTGACCAACCAGAACTGGCGTTGGGAGTCATAGCTGCCCTGCCGAACTTCGGCCGCGATGAACTCCACCACGTTGTCGTGCTTGAGCATGACCGTCTCGTCAGTGAACATCTCCTTCTCCACGCTCCAGGAGGCTGAGTCGATCTCGTGGAAGATCTTGACAGCCACGACCGTCTCGTCGGCGGGGCCGTCGCCCTCCTTCAGGTCCGCCTTCCAGACCGCGCCGAAGCGTCCTCTCCCAATCACCGTGCTCAGAGAGATGGGCAGATAATTGCCGCGCAGGTGCACAGGACTCTCAGGCGGTGTGTCTTGGCCTATGACCTTGACATCACTATCCTCAGTCGTCAGGTCCAGGCTGGTGCTCTCTGTGTTACTTGTGGGAGGGTGCGGCTTGCGGTCCTGCTTCAGTTTTTGGCAGTATCGGTAGATGTAGAACCCACTGACCCCAAGCACAGCGACTATCACTACTGGAAGGCTTGACGCCAACACGATGGTCAGGGTTTTCATCCCTCCGTCTGCATAATATGTAAACGAAACACCAACCAAACAGACACCCGTATGGAAACACAAAATGAGATCTAAGATTAAACAAATTATGCATTTCACGCTAAATACAACTGTTTATCTATAACACCTGACTGACATAAATTACGAGCGCCTTTTGGCTTACAGGCGAAAATCAACAAGAGGCGCCCTTGTATGTGAAAAGCTCTGCATCCCGTCAAGTTGAATTTTAAATGCCTTAAACGGAAATTTGCGCGCATTTTTGCAGCTGGCTTGCGAGCAAGCGGGTGAGTAGAAACATATTAATGGTTTGTAAGGGGTTGAGTTTGCATGTGCATGCAAACCAAGTTGATGCGATGGGTATATGGATTATAACTCATGAATCCCTGATAATCTAAACATGTTAATTGGATTGAGTACTGGTGTTAATGAAGACGATGTATCATGTTAGTACGGAGGTTTGGAATCTGGTCCAGATGCACTTTAAGGCGCGGCATTAACAGCGCTTTACTGAAGCATGAGTACCCAACGTTCTACGTAATCCCGAGTCACCACGCTTTGAAAAGTGTTTTTCACTGTGATTGTAGTGATGAATTTATTTATTTCTATCGTCCTCGTGGGGTCTATAGCGTACTGACCTGAGTCTTCATCATTTGACACATTGTCATCCTTTGGTGTTGTCACAGGATTTGGGCCTTCTTTGGATGGTGTCCCTTGCTCAGTGGTTGGTGGATGCGGCGTCGGTTTCGGCACTTCCGCCCCGGGAAGGTAGATGGCGTCGTTGCAGTAGTCGTGCGTGCACGTGCAGGTGTATATAAACCAGTACGAATCGTCGGTGGAGTAATCGGTGTCCGGCGCACCACAGTAATGAGGGGTGACGTCACTCTCACTCAGCGGTTGGTTCTCGAAGCATGTTACGGAGGCAAACTCCTGAACGTCGCTTCCGGCAGTGTACGTGGCTATCAGGCAATACGAATTGCTGCTTTGGCAAGCAACCTTCTCGTCGCACCGGCTTCGGCAGACCAGGCGATCCATGTCGCAGTCCAAGACGGTCTCATTGCAGCTGAAGCAGTAACTGGCTGCGTTGGTGGAAACGTCGAACCAAGCACAGACAATCACTACAAATAAAACAGAGCAAAAGTAACATAATTAAGATTTTGTCCGACACATGGGTGCATTCAAAACCCTGTCGTGTTCATCCAACGCGAGCCTAGTGTATCAAGTCTCAGGATCAAACACGCAAACGTTGTTCCCGATCATGATTTTCACTTTCTACTTAATGGCCGTTTCGTGATATACTGCAGACAAATGCGACAGCGAAGCGTATTTGACATCGCGAAAGATATACAGCGAAATTATCTCCATTTAAAATCTTTGGCGAACTCGGAGCGTGAATATCACATCTTGCGTCGTGTTCACTTTCTCGCCAAATATTATGAGCCACCTTTGACGAGAGTAGATGAAGAACGTCGACAACAAAGATGGCACACTAATTAGGCATGCACATACCGCAACTTTTATACGCTTAGTATTAAAAGCACTCAGGTGTTTGTGCAAGAATCGTAATCATAAAAAATTAGACCGGGGGCTTACTATGGCAGAGAGGGTAGCTTATAATCTTATTATCACCCTTCCTTTTACTTTGGCAATCTGTGAGGCCAGTGAGGAATGTTTTCTCACAACTTTCAGTAAGCAAAATCTTGGTCAAAATTTGAACAGAACCCCCCAAAACGACCAGTGTCTTCGCGTAATGACCTCACAGTAGCAGTGCCCTCGTTTGTCGGAAAAAGCAAGGAAAGAAGTTTGGAAAAAGGTGTGCTTTCCTATAAGAATTACCAAAGAGATGCCGGATAGAAAGTTGCGCAGAAGGATTCTCGGGAAAATTTACTTTATGGGAATTCTAAACCAACGACAAGATTGCAATTCCTAACAACCACCGATGTGGTTAGGATGCATGTTAGGATGCAAGCCATCAGAGGGGAACTGTGACCTAAATAGATAGGATTTTTACCTCGGCTAATAAAACAGGATCAGGAAGCCAGTGTACAGTGTGGTTTCCATAAGACTTACTTGGTTTCATCTCTGATCACAGATATCAAAAATAGCCCATATACTTCCTTTTTATTCCGTAAGCGTTTTTACCCAGGCCTATAGTAAAAGGATAACCCTCTGTACTTGATGTTCGTCGACAAAAGTATCCCCTGTATCTCAGTAGTTTGTCCTCAGTATCTCAAACAGTTGATCCAATTATCCATGATATACACACAAAAGGAGCGTGAGCTCAAAAATAGTCTCATGCATATTCAAAGTGATAGGTACTCTCAAATCAGTGTTGCCTGTTCTGCGTTATTAGCTAGTTATGAACATTCAACGTTACTCCCAAAGACAAGGATGTGCCATCAAGCACGCACATCCTGTTTGTCACAAACGGTCTGTCTGCACGTGCACTTGCTGCCGAGAAACCGAGTCGCTGATAGTCTCTGCACATTTTGCGCAATTAACTTAATGCGCATGCGCAAAACGCATCATGAGATGGACTTGGTGCGTCAAATTTGATGCAGAAATTTAAGCTTTTTACCGTATACCCGTTTATTCCTCTCTTCTGAAACAGATTTGGTTCTAATTTTGTCTCCTTTGTTTATAAAAGACGCCACACAATTAAGGGAGTCGATAAAGTTCAAACCTAATTCGGCGAAATTGAGAAAAATTGAGAAATTGAGAAAAATTAATCATCCGATCGCTCGGCACAGTAATGACATGTTCCTGATATCGATGCAGAGGATCTAATCATGTTAGTGAATCCTCCATTTGAGAATCATGAGAAACCGTAAAAATGACAAGCCTGGCACGGATTCCAAAGGTAACCAGGCGTAATGCTTCCTTATACCCACTACGTTTAGAAGCTTCCAGTAACACTATCATTGTCGACGTTTGAAGATCTTACACAAATCCCAATTTGGACTGAACCTTTGTTCAGGGGGAGTCACCCATGAAGACTCGACGACATCTGTGGCATGATAGAACCCAATGCTTTCAAAAGTTGAAAGTTGCTCCCGTTAGCAAAGTTGGCGACGACAAATCTCAAGAAGCTCTCGGCTGGCGGAAAAATATAGTTAGTGTAATTATGCCAGGAAACTCAAGATAGCTTACAGATCCTACTGGGCACGATTCAAAATACATAAACACCTTTATGGAGGCCAAGGGGTATCCAGGGTGTTTCAGCAGGGCTGACCTGTGAGATTTTGTTAACCTCTTTCTGGGTAGTGTAGATTCTGTAAGTCTGCAGTATGGTGCTTTTCGTAGGCCTATATAGTGTCTGACAACAGTTGAGACTACTTCTCAACAATATTCATTCGTTACCACATGTAGTGCGTCATGGATGCGAAACCCACGGAAGTATAATCTTTGCGTAAAGCTGTTCTACCCCCGAACAATCAAACTAAGTCTTAAACTAACCTGTTGGCACTAATTTTTAACATCCATTTTACGATGCGCAAAAAGGACTGATGTATGAGGCGCCTATGCGCCTCTAGATGGAACTGAATTTCGCTGCAGTTCACGAACGTCTAGGAAATGCACGCGCTATGTTCGCATCGCTATCAACAAAATAAATACTCCCAACCAACACGACCATTCAGTCGGTATTACTTCTGCTCGAGGCGGATAGTCTCTGAATGGCATCTCACAAATAAAGTTCAATGTTGAACCCTTCAATGGCTATCCAAATCTCCATATTATTCCAGACATCCAATGCTTCTTCAATATCAAGGGAGGGGTGTTCCTTTGGTAGTTACTAATATGACCTGTTTCCAGTTCCACAATTCTTAACAAGTACAGGGAGAAACCGAGAGGTCGAGCGGGTCACGGCCTCCCGTCTGGGTCCCGCCGCTTCCTGTGCGTCTCAGGCTGCTCGACAGAGCTGCTCTCTGTCCAAAGCTCAGACATCCTTAGCCCACGCGAACTGAAGGCAAATGCAGGAAGCGATTCCGTCATTGACTCCTTACTATTCATGTGACAACTGCCATTTTTTCCAAAGGAGTTTTATATCTCTTAAATATCAGCCTGAAGTTTTATTGTTTGATCAAGGCTTGTGTCAATCAGGGTGAAGATAAATATTTATTGGCTTCCCCATCAGGCAAGGAGCCATCAGGACTGAGAGGGCAGATTTTTAGTCTAAATCAAGGCCGTCACAACTTTTAAGACGTCACATATATAGGCCTATTCCCCTCTAAATCTAGATTCTATCTCCCCACCAATGCACTCAAATAGTGGCAAAAGAACTTGCCCTTACTGCACGTAAGGTCATTCCCCGAGCTTTGGGGGGTTGCATACACGAGCCTTGAATGATTTAGGCCTACTAATATTCATGTGGGGTTTCCGAAGTGTGGCGACGCTGATTGTGTCTGGAGCGCCGGCCAGACTTTACTTAAGCTTCACCTTTCACTTCCCGATGAATAAGTTTCTCTTGTACCCCCACATGTAAAGAGTCGAGTTAGATACTGATAGCCCCACCCACCCCGGCACTGAACCGTATCTGACAGTAGAAGCCCAGGTTGCCCCGACTTGACTGTACCCCTTCTGTCTGGTTACGCTGGAGAACTATCAGACAGGAGCTAAGCCGAGTCTAACATGGCGGCCTGTGCTTCAAACGTGGACCGTCATGACTTGCAATAATTTTTCAGGTTCCTGCCATTGCAGAGAAGTCCAGTATCTATGATAAAACTGTCTGTGCACATAAAGCATATTTAAAACACTTAAAAACCATAAAAGTCAGCAATGTGTATGTCCATTTTGGCCTGGGTGACAAACAAAACTAAAGCAATGTGTTTTCATTTATTACTTCTAAGAAACAATGCTAAGTTGTTAAACAGACATAGTTCAAGTATTTTGCACGAAAATTACAAACTTCTACCCTTCCAAGTTTTTTTCCCAGTCTTTGAACCTCCGAATTTACAGCTTGTCTCTATTCTGTCTTTTCTGTTTAGCATCGCAAGTTCGTAACCTTCTCTGTATGGGCTCAAGGTACGTATCGGCCCTCTTTCCCGAAGCTATTTTCCTCACCAGTTAGCCTGATTTCACTTCTTGAAGGACATGCGACTCAGAACAATGAACAAGGGTTCATTGCTAAAACAAGGGAATGTCATCTTGGTCATATAGATGACCTGTACACGTGGTGGTACGAACTTTGATTAAGGCAGGAACAGGGTCTGCAGAATATGAAGTGGCACAGGATTCATATTATACGTCTGGACAAACCGTCTGAAATTTTTACACATAAAAATCACAGGAAATATATAAACCAAGAATAACACTGCACTTGCAAGTTGCTACCCTATAGCTAGCTCAAACCGTGTACCAAATTTCCAGCTAACATCATACAGAGCTGAAAGCTCGTTCTGTGGTTGTACCATTGCAAAAGGAGCTGGAGTCGCTGTTCGAGCGGCGCTCAACGAAGGAGATCCACCCATTGAGTGGATTACAAGGTCTTGAATAAATTTCATAACAATGAAATATTACGATTAACACAAGCAATAGAAGGCCTACACCATGTACATGTCTATAAAGAGTTAAGACCCTGTGCCAGTTCGTCATATTGTAAGGGGCTTCGTACATGATATCACTAGACTTGTAAAAAGTCCTTCAACTTGAACAAAATCTTGTATAAATAATAATGTGCATCATGAACAAAATCCATAACTTGACGAAACCTTGACGGCGAAAAACTGAGAGCATTTATCGTGATGAGGCTAATACAGATCCTTGTAGTACATTTAAATACGGCTTGTCCTTGAGGTCAGTTAAAAATGCGCTTATCACGCGGTACGGGATACAAGTTTCTACTTTTAATTCTTTGAAGTGCTAAATATTACAGTACCACGTTCAAATCCAAGCCATTAAATCCTTTCAAATCATATGACAATTTTTGCACTTCCTGATGTACTTCAGAAAATATTTAGTTGGCACGGTACCCTTTTTACTATACGCACTTAGTTATTTTGTGACGATATCACTTTTGATAGATGTCATTTGTGATACGTTAGCGTTTGCTACAGCACAAATCTGAACCTTGTTTATATAATCTGAGAAAAAATAGCACCCTACATTTCTATTGATTTATTTCCTCGCATAAGTTCCGGATCGATGATGACCCAGGGAAAAAATGTCAATAAGCACTGAAGCATTCAAGTAAAGTAAAACTGCCGCCAAAAAATTAACCTCGTTGTGGCTTTTGGTTTCCATTAAATGGTGTATGGTCTTTTTAAATTCTGGTCGTAAGTGGAAGGAGGACTTCAGAACTGAAAGCTAAAGTTGATTCATTCTTAAAATAACACTTTTAGTTCGTTACATTATTCCTGTTTGTTTGCAATTCCCATTCAAAAAGTTCCTTCTTAAAAATGAAGTATAAAATCTTTTGTACTGCGAGTGATATTTTCACAGTCCGTCTACAACCAATGAATAAATTATGAATTCAATGCTTTATTACTACAGTGGAAAAAGTGTTTTTAAAAAATATATGCAGTTTGCCAAATATTTTTACTGCGGATTTTCAAAATCAAGGTTCCGTTTTTAGTCTTTTTCCATATAAATGATCCGGTACACGTCGACCTGATGTACTACAACCAAATGACTGTATGGCAACAATTTGAACTTACCAAATGCAGCGAAGATCGGGAAAACACGGCCACGTGGTTGTGGCGTGCATGCCCTCGACAATGACACCGGGTACGTAAAACCCATTGTCTTTTACCAATTGGAATGGTCTCCTGTCCGACTTGGCGATTGAAACAATTATTACTTTTGCTAGTAGACAGTGGCTTTGACCGAATGGGACCTCAGCAGGTCAAAATGTATATCTAATGATGAATGAAAACTGTTCGGAAGTTTGATTGAGTTGCAGGTACACATTGACAGGCGAAACCAATTCATCTATATTCTTCAAACCTGCGTTCACAACACGACTTGCAAGTTGAATTCAACTCTCCATCCTCTGTAGGGTCTGAACAATTTCAGCGGCAAAAGCTCCAGCCGTGACAACTCGAAAATGGAGTTCGCAACACAGCGGGACGCTGTGAGAACAGCTAGCTTGAAGTTGACAATCCACTGTTATTGTAATGTCGTACACAGAGTTCAAGTTTGTGTGCCGTTGAATGATCATTCGTCACGGACAAAATATTCCAAGAAATAATGCGGGGTTTTCCACCGACTTAGAACCGGCATGAGGGTCACAAACTACCATTCAGCCCATTGTGAACGAACATAAAATACACTTGTACACTCCTAGCGGTGTAAAGGTGAAGGTGTAATTATCATAACCTTTCTGGTTCCTGAACTCTTCAGATCTTCAAGTAACGAACGAAATGGCCCTTCCCGTACATCTAGGATCTACTGTCTTCACCGCTACGTCTGCCACAGCCTATGCTACATGTACCTAGTCCCCGTGGTATATCACAGCTGATTCACCGCCAGACAATTTTTCTCTTGACTAAATAAGTTTTGTCAAACTCTACCGCAAAATTGTAAGCTGCGTTTCGTCCGTGGGAGGCAGTGATTTATTGGGGTTGTTCCATTTAGAGCCAGCGTGTATGACAATAAGTAGTTTCATCTGGACAGCATTAAATAAACACTATTTTGACAAATATGTAGGGTATGTGCTGTTGTATCTCTAACAAAATACCACAAGTCTATTGCAAATCGTTTGGAAAATTTTTTAATCAAAAGTTATGCCTTTTCCTATTATTTCTAACCCCCTGTTTTGCTAGTGGACTATTCGGTCAGATTGATTCGCCTCGGCATCCTCAGCTAGGCGACTGACATCATTTCCTCTAAAAGAGTTTGCATGGCTGTTTCATAGCCTTTCGTTTTTACTGTGCTGGAAATATTATTCACATATAACATAAAGTCACGGTGGAACTGCTCAGCTCAGATTAATGCTTCACTGCCTTGAACATCATACGTATTACAGCTCAGGATTTCTCTGGAGTGGGGTGGTAGTGGTACCCACTATATTGGTAGTAATCTTTAAAAAAGTGACCCGGCCGATACAGCCAAGGGCGGATCAAAAACCGAATTTCCGGAGGAAGAGTTCACTTTTTCCGAGGGTGGGAACCTCAAATTGAGGGATTTTTTTCACTATAGTTAGGGCCAACCTTTCATTGCCTTTCCAAGGGGTTCGTTTAAGCTTCACACTTTTCAAGCTGTAGGAAGGAAGGGAAATTCAAAAATTCCCCCAAATCGGCTTTCTTTCACAATATTTCCGAACAAATCAAAACAGATTCCCACCCCTCTTTAAAGGGGAAGGGTGTGGCCCTGTCCCCCCAGTCGATCCGCCTGACTGGCAATGTATATAGCTGTCAGTCAATTGCCCTCCTGGGAAGAAGCTATCTGTAGCCTACTTTATGAAGTTGTGACTTCTGAAGTTCCTATAATTGTCAGGATGATATGTGCAACGATGATTTGATTCAGATGAATATGAAATGATAAACTCGTTAATTGAATCCCAGATTTAATTTGGGTTTTTAACGTGAAATAAAAGAGAATGAAAAACGAACGCCAAGGCACTCTCGGTCTCAGTTTGCTTTTGTGACCCCCACCCCCTTCCCTTACACCCTAATTCAGCTTGTTTTGTGTCATTTCACATGGATTAAGAATTAGACACTGCATGTTTTTAAATACACGAGACAGATGGGATATCGAGAAATTCATTCCAAACCATATTTCATACTGTTATATAATATCAGAGCTTCAGTGAATGAACTGTACTCAAGTAAGAGATCTGAGAGTGCGGTGCATCAATACTCTACCCATGTGCATGTGCATGTACATGTACCTGTACCTCCACACAACCTTAAGTTTTACACAGCTATACTTGTGGGGTATATTATTCTCGTGTACAAAATTCCCACACAACACGCAAAAATTTTCAAATCACTCCCATTTGAACCAGGTTCACTTTCCTACTTTGGAAATTCATGGAGAATGGAAAATTCGACTAAACTTCCGTTATTTAAAATACTTCATTCTTCGACAGAGGAATGGCACTTGAAAATTCCTCCGTTTTGAGTAAATTTGAAATATTTATTTCGTGAAATCCTTGTGGGGTACCGTCTCAGTACCCCACAAGTACCCTATACTTCCCATTGTTCCGGTACCCCACAAGCCCCTCTATACACGCGCATATTAACACACACATGTATAAATGTACTGTACATGTACCTTGTACTGTACATGTACATGTATGTATCGTACATGTACATGTACTGTACCTTGTACCATGGAGAAATTTCTCCATGCTTGTACTATATGTACCTCGCGGCAACGTCGTCGCGCTGTTCCCTAAACCCTGCTGATTCTGCCACAGGTTGCCGACTACCAGCAGCCATGGAATGAATCAACATGGCGGACGCTAGAGGAGATGTGTCTGCCCCCAACTACGATTCTGATCTTCTTTCCAGTCAACAGGATGCATCGGGTCAAACCTCAATAGGGAATTTAGCGAAAATTGCTGCACAGGTATTTTCTTGTTGTATCTTGAATAGTTTAAAGACTTCGTGACAGCGAATAATACCATTAATCGGACACTTAGCCTGGCCTAAAATTCTAATTCAGTAACTGACCCAATCGTCATCAGCAGATCAGTGCGTATCTAAATGTAGGCCTAGGCCTACCTCAATGATCAGTGTGACACCAGACCAACGTTGAAATGATTCAGGCCGGTTCATTTCTGGAGCAAAAGCGAACACAAACGCGAACTGGAAAGAGTTCCACTCACCCCACGAATAGTGGGCGGTTTCAAAAAGGCCTAGGTCAACTCATGTAAAATTAAACTGGCCCCCAGTCTTGGGCTAGCAGTGACCTAGCCATCAGAAAACAAAAGCATTTCCAGAAAATATCAATTTAGGACTAGGAGGGAAAAAACCAAGTCATTTACTCAGAAAACAATTAGAATTTTTTAGACCAATCTCAACTGTGTGTGCACATGGACATCGTGCCAAGTGGCGTCCATAGGCTATGTGGAACTCTTTCCGAACTTATTTCTAGGCCTACTTGAGCAAAATTTTGCTGCAATTCTTTCGTGACGTCAAATTGGCTTCACTTTCCCATTTGCGTGTAAGGTTGTTGTATGACCCAGTCTTTAGGCATGCATGAAAAAGGTCATGCTTTAGACACACTAACTTGACTAAACATATCGCTACATGTATATATTATGACTGTATGATCGTATAGTCATCAGGCCCCTATAAATTTTGATTTTGTGGTCATCGCAAGACACAAACTCAATTCACATGTTTGAGAAGCAGTGTGTGTGCATTGTATTAACGAGCTACCACAGCACCTGACCTCCTGGCACCCAAAACATCAGATACAGTAGATTGGCAATGCAATACTTATTACTATACAGTGCTGTAACTTTAGAATTTGGTAGTCATGTTTGGCTTCATCACATTATCCAAAACAGATGGCACAGCCCATAACAGTTAAGTTTAAGAATCAGGCCTAGTATGTGAGTGCAATTAGGAACTGATGTATGTACATGTACCGGTACATGGGTAATCCCAGAAATTAGGGGTCCAAAGTGTGACGTTTTTGTGTCCCTGTTACATCTGACCTTTGTTATCTAACATCAGAACATGGAAATATCACCGGAATTGATTTCAAACTATTACTTTTTGTTTGGTAGGTAATTTGCATTAATTTGTCACTCTTGGAAATTAGAAAATGTGTTCTGATCGTACAAAATCATATGTTAGATGTGACAGGGACATGAAAAAAATAGACCCCTAATTTCTGGACTTGTCCACATGCACTTGAATATTTCTTCACGATTTGTACAGTGTAGCTCCAGACTAGCATCAATTGATGTGACCTTGAATAGTGAAGTCAAGCAGTAGCCAGTAGTACATGTACTTGAGCCTTGAGGAATATATTGGAAAGCAAGAGTAACCAGTGCTTTAAGGATGCATTTGCACATGTAAATATACAGTCAGAGGTCACAGTCCATTATTGCAATAGCTGGTACTGTGCTGTGACGTCACCTTGCTTTCAAGTTTTCTTGTGGAGTTCGTTCCACATTGGTACATTCAAGATACATGTATCTGTGGACAACTTGCTTAATACACAGGGTAGCATTTCACAATGAAACCACCCCTCTCCCCCTCACCAAATCCATTGAACTGCCTCCTTACCAACTGATATTGAAAAATTTCCAATCAAACTTCTTGCTTAATGTCACTTACTCACTGACAATTTCCTTTTCACATGTCAGCTTACATGTGTGTCACACATACAGGTACATGTATACGTACTGTACCATGGCATCAAGGAAAAAAGGACCAGTCTAAAGTTCTGAATTTATGATTCTGAAAAAGCAAAAAAAGGGTAAAGAAAAATGTTCTTGTTGATGATGTGACCTTAGTACTGACCCATATAGAGCTGTATTACATTAGAGTGCTCGCTCATTGTACAAAGTGAAGTCTGCCGGGCGCATCCATGTGGGCAACACACCTACATGTACATGTATGGAAACTCCAAATTTTGTATGCCGTTTGTATATGTAAAGTTGTTGTATGTACATGTATCTGTATTTCAAAAATGATGTGCCAGGGAAGTAGATGTTGCCTAAAACCTAAATGTTCATGTACAATCAGTAATGTACCGCCCTGCCTCATATAAAAATTTGCTGAGGCGTTTTTAAAAAAGTATGTCGTACAAATGAAAAATATACTTACATGTATGTTATATGGGCACGTGTGTATTGGAATTGAACATAGTATTTTAGAGAATGTCATTCAGAATTCATTCCATTTTACGTTTCATTACATTCCACAAACATTGCTTCTTCACTACTCAGGGAATGACGAGTAAGCGCTCTAATAATTTGATTATGTACATGAAGCTTTGTTGTCATTAAAAATCACAGACTGGCAGTCATGGCAAGTAATGCTTGTTGAAAACAGTATTGTAGGTTATGCAAAGGAACTGAATCTGCTGTAGGGCTACTCAGTACTAACTGGTCTTGGTTAAAAAAGTTGCTGTGCGTGGTTGTTTCCATGAACATGTTGAAGTAGTATGCTGTCTGAACAAAGCAGTTCTTTGTTTCTCGTATGCTCTGTAAACATGCATAATAATTCTGCCTATTTGTTTGACATTTTTTTGTTGCTTACTCCAGAACAGGAAACCCAAACTCCCTCACTGGACGTCCTTAATTGATTGTCAGGTATATTCTTTTCATTGGAATTGAATTGCGAAAACAGCAAACCTCCCTGCTTGAAATTGGGCTCCATGCAGTATGCAATGCATGCAGAAGCTGATGGCAAGGGCACTGCATGGCTTGCTCACAAGGGCTAAAGGGGGGGCTCTTACCTGACAGTAGAGTTCCTGCAGTCTGGAGGAAATACAATGTAATCCTAAAACGTCTTGGAATTCGTAGGTCAACAAAGTTATAGAGTTTTATGAGCGCCTACATGTACTTCCATTAAATTTTAAAACTCGGAATTCAATATTTAACAGAGCCGCTTTTCCGTCACAATTTTGACAGATGTGGAATTTGAACTTTTTAAGGAAGTGTGTTTTTGATTTTCGAATGTGGTCAAGGAAACGTCAGAGTGGTCGTTGAGAAGTTTTGTACAGTTTTATTGTCCTAAAGATGCAGGAACCCTATGGCACTTATTGTGTAACCTGTGGATGGTTTGGCCACATCAAGAGTTAAAAGCAGTGGGCACAAATATATGTAATGTGCATTGTGTATGGCCAGTTTCCAACTGAATGTGCTCAAGACAAGTGGATAGTGATTAATGCACATGTGCTTTGCATTTTGCAAGTGAAGATAGACTTACATGTACCTGAGAGGGCCAGTTATTATGGAGTTCATTCACTTCTACTCTTTTGCTGCTGTGGTCATTATGCATTTTTTTTTGAGCTTTGACTTTCCTAGTATTGTTGCATACCAGTATGTCTTTTAGCTTTCAGTGTTTCTTTCCTTGTTTCCTTACTTTAGAGAATAATTTCAGTTTGGCTGTAGCTTTTAAGTTTTTAATTGTTGTATGGTAGACTCCAATACATCTATTTCCTACTCCCTAATGTTTACCTTTTCATTCAGTGTTGGTTTTGGTTTTTATTGTTCTGAATGCGAGGAACTGCCAACCCGAAATGCACTGCAGATGTTTGTTTGAGGTGTGGGAAAATGCAGCCAGATTCTCTGCTGACTTATTTTAGGAAGCAGACAGCATATTTCAACAAAAACATTTGACGGTGTGGATAAAACTTTACGCCAAGATTCTCTGTTTTTATATTTTGTCCATCTGATATACATGTACCGTACACATATCGGAACATGTATAAATCCAATTTCAAGAAGTTTCCTGTTTTGTATGGGTTATCCATAGCAAAAAGAAGAGGAAAAGTCAAGGAAACATACAAAATCCAACTTAAAATTCATGTAGTATTCACAGTGCATGAAAAATTAGTGTTCTCAGTGATGGTTTGAACTACATGCATATATGAAAACAAAGGAATGTCTACACCTTCTCATAAATATACATGTAGTAAAACAATCAAACTGCAGATGTACAGTATACATGCACATGTACGTGTATGTATACAACTACAACCAAAAGTTTAGTCCCAAACTTAATACCATCTTCAAGGCCAGTTTGTACAGTTGCTGAGTCAATGCTTGATCAGGGAAGGTATGGAGGTTTTGTGAGTTTGTAGGTGTAGCCATCTTGCAGGGCAGTTCTTTTTTCCCAGAGGGAAACCGCCTTTGTGCATGCAAGCACCTTGTGGAACAAAACCATTGGCCTGCAAGATGGCAGCCATGCAACAGGTCTTTACTTGTGCAAGTTTTCCTTACATTTTGAGGTGGCTACCCCCTTGTTCTTCTGTTACAATTTACTTGTACACATGTACACGTACCTCCATTAGTTCCCCCACCTACATCGTACATGAATGTGGATACATTGTATACAAGTACATGCACATGTGTGTACATGTAACTCCTTAAATGCTGTGGTAGATACATGTACACGAAGTTGATATCCCCTCTCATTAAAGTTTGATATCCCCACTGGCACACTGATCAAAGATATGAAATCCCATTCCAGCCTTATTTTTCCCACGTCAGCCGTGGAAATCAATAAGAACTCTCAACATTTTCACTCACGACAATGTCCATTTTCATCAGGATACCATAATGAGTGATACATGTACATCAGAACAAAGAGCTTTGCTTGCTCTTTCTAATGTAATCTGAACAAAATTACTCAAAAGTTGGTTTTATGACTCATTTGCACTGAACCAGTCACATCTAGTGAAACTTTAAAGTACATGTATAAACCCAAATATTTTGTTACTTTGTGCCTAAAATCTTCATTATACATGTTGTTTATGCTAGATACCAGATACAGTGTAACTTGAGAGATGTGGAATGGCAATGATGTTAGTTTAATAAAACAAATAATTTAATAACAAAATGTAGTTTAATAACTGGAAAATGGGTAAACGGTTTAGTATTTAAACTGAAAGTTGTAAAAAAATATGCATAAAGTAACTGGACCACAATTTAATTAAAGAGACATTTATGTCTCTTTAATTATGTCTCGTTTACGTACCGATATGTGTACTAGTACACATACATGTATTTAAGTACATGTATGCAAAAAAATGGCATTTACATGTGTTCATGATACTAACAATTTACATGGCATTCCTAATACCTGGTACATGTATTACATTTGTTATCTTGTTTCATGCAAAGTTTATCTAATTTTGATGTTTGTGTATTCTGATCAATTGTATGTACATACATGTACATGTAATCTGTACACATTTTGTGAATGTATTTACTGTAGAATTCTTGGCAAACGTATTTGTGTAGAATGGCCAGTGATCTTGTAAACCCTGGTGGTTCCCCTAGTCAAGCCATTGTTGTTCAGGATGGACAATGTTTTGTACGTGTAGATTGCCGTATTGTTTCCAGCCTTATTCCCATCAAGTATTTTATCTTTCATCTGTGCTGATATACATGTACTGTAGTTGGAAGATGCGAAACCTTGAAAATGTATTTTACTGTAGCAGAATTTAACATGTTCTCAGGCGTGTACTGTACATTTACATACATTTATAGGTTGTGCATACTGATGATCAGATCATCAAGGAGTCGGGCGTATTTTCTGGATGTGCGTGTACAGTACACGTTGTTGTACATGTATTTGGCTGCATGCGTCTCAGTAAAACTGATCAGTTGATTCTGACAGTGCATGTACGCACAGTGCAATCTGACTGTGGTACATGTACCTCTTCTTGCAGGATGGGTCATTGCTGGAGCAGGTGGAGATATGTGTGACAGAGCAAGAAAAGAGAACTGGGGCTGGTACCATGGGCATGAAGGATGTCTTCACGGTGTACCTGGTGGAAACCAGGTAGGTAAAGCTGCACCGGTACATGTACTTCCCATGGGCTGAAATCCCAACTCAAATCCAGTGGCAAAGCATGGGAGGGCACGAGGAATATTCACCCCCCTCCATATTACACGCCAATGTCTTTTTTTTTTTCCAATCAGTTTTTTTGTTTCGGGGGCGAGTGCCCTTAACTTGGGCGCCCCTTTTCACAAGTGCTGTCCACATGCCACTTGGGGCCTGTTTGTTTCACATGGATCCAGATGGTGATCAGTATCCGTCATTGGTTTAAGGACACCAAATCCTGCCTAACGGACTGAGTGAACTAGCTTTGGGATGGCTAATCAAGACCCAGATCAATATGAAACAAACGGGCCTTTAGATTATGCTGCCATGAAAACCCCACCTCTTGTCAGATACCGTGTGCATAATGTTGCCACGGAAAGAATGGTGGAAGTGGAAAGTAAAGTGAACAAGACTGGAACACTGACCCCCACCAAAATCATCCACAGGTACGTGTTACTGATATTGTGATTTTCTAATTTGACATTTTTTTCTGATTTGGTTATTTCTGAATGTGAGCAGTTTATAAAAGGTACCACACAAATGTGTTATGTACTGGTTTATGTACATAACATAAATGAATGTGTGTAGGGTACAGGTACACTGTACATGTACTTTCACTCACGTGCTGTGGTGTTTACTGATGATAAATGCAACATACATGTACATTATTTTCACTAAATTTCATTGATTCCATGAGTTGGCATCATCCGAGAGTGAAAAAGAACACTATTGATTCTGTTCTTCTGTTCAAAAACGTATGTTAGAAAAAGCTATTTCAGTGGTTTATGAATCTTCAGAATGTGTTCTAAAATCATTACAGGTTTTGTCTTCTCAATCCCCGTTTTAAAGTTTTTGTTTCCATAAATGGCATGGAAAGGGATAAAGAACTTCTTGATAGAGCAGTTTGTAAATTAAGTCAATTTTAAGTGCTCCATCTTTTTTTTCTTTAGATTAAATCCATGTTTGTCAACTCCATGTGTGCTTCCTCTGTTAACTGGTTTCCAAGAACTTACTCTTGCAAGTTTCCGGTTTTCATTGATTAGAAATACATTTATGGTATGATAATAGTTTATAGGAAACATCACTCAGCTTGAGTAAGAAGTAACCTGAGACGTTTGCTATCTAGATCGTATGCATGGAATAAGCTTAAGCTTCAAGCTTGTTCCTGGGATTAATTTCAAAGTGCTATGAGTCTCATCAACTGTCGGACACTGGAAAGGGGCTCTCTTGTGAAGCTCTCCCCCTCTTCCCTACAATGGAAGTTTGGTTACAGAGTCTTATCACCACCGGAAATTCAAGACATCAAGAACACGAGAATTTGCTGAAACCAAAAGGAAGTGAATGATACGTGTTTACGTTTGGCATTTCCAAAAATGCATTTTCCAACACATATTTTAAAAAGTCAGACACTGAGGAGTTCAATACAAATTGTGAATAAATCACATATGAGTATGGCACTTAATTCGCAATTTGACAGCTTTGCATGTACCAGTACCAGTGAAAACATCAGTTTATCTGAAAGGCTGGATGCTTCATTGCAAATAAATTACCATTGCAAATGGGAAAACGGCACTCCTTTGTTGAAAATGAAATATTTTGTTGGTGGTAACATCTTACAATTTCAGGAAATCGACAACTTGGCAAGTAAATGCTAAAGATGTCAATCACAAAGAGGGAACTGGAAATAAGTTGACATCCCATATACATGTACATGTATAACTAAACCACTGAAGTACACTGGGAATGTAAAGGAAATGTAGTTTAGCAGAAACCAAGGCAGTGCAAAGGAAATGCACAACATGTAGTAGCATGTTCAGCACGTACACATTGTACATGTACCATTTTGTGTATGAGGTGTACAGTACATACATGCACATCTACATGACACCTTTGATGCAGTTGCACGTTACACTTACAGGTAGGTGCAGCACAGATGCATTTTTCCCTGTAAGTGATGGCCTGTGTGCGGATGAGGTTACATACCGCACATGTTCATGTGTAACACGTGTACCTGTATGTATCAAGTGTTGCAGTAGTTTCCACGAAAGAGACCCGAGTTATTCAGTCCAAAGTCTTCCAAACCTTTGGCACCACTTGGAATTGTAGCTAAGGAAAAAAATCAGCAAAAGGTCATACACATAATTTGCAGTACATGTAAGTGTAATGTTTCCTGTTCTGAATTTTGAGATGTTAATCTTGTCACAAAGGAAACTTATGCATACAAGTATGATATTCTTGCATTACAGTGTTGATGTGCATACAGTACATGTACAGTACACATAAGTTTTGATTGGTTTTAATGATAATAATGTTTGTATGCTCTGTTTATTACCTTCCTGTCAAACTCTCTTGCATTTCAAATAAATGTATGGTAGCAGTGTACATACCTATTTTCATCTGTAAAAAAATAGTTTTCATGTAAATTGGTTGCTGGGGCGCTTAAAACAAATGACATGTATATGTACAGGTAATAGTATGCGATCTGTTCTTTATATATTGGTACATTTTGTCCCCAAAGCTTATTGGTTCTCTGCGAAATACACGTACATGTACAAGAGTCATTCTATAAATTTTGGGGTCAGGTGCTATTTCCTGTCAGGCACTAGTGCACCTCAAAGGAAATGTATTATGACTTAGTGCTCATGTACTAAACAAATTGGCGTGTTTCTGGAATCCCCGCTTGGCTTCTCTTCCTCTGTAGGGGCTTCCTATGAAACGGTACCAATACATGTACATGTATGTACATGTACATATATGAGTGCGCTGTCCAACCATCCTTGTTCAACTGAGCCAAGACCGAGCATGCCAAGTGACAAATTTGATTGAGTGGTTTTGCACATACTGGTACATACATGTATGTACATGTATGCACTGTACAGTACAGTACCATACATGTACTGTACACTCAATATGTACAGTACATGTTGCATCCCAAACTGACGTACCGTTGATAGTCGCTGCACCACAAATTGTCATATGGTGTGTGCAAAGTCTATGAACAGTACAGGATACACATTTATAAATGTACATTACGTGTACCTGTACATGTACACATGGTACATGCCACTTTGTGGTGCAACTGACGATGTTTATGTGTGATGACCCTAACCCTCCTAAATATGTTCAGAGTCATACAAGTTTTGGAAATTCCGCAGGAGTTAGGAAGGTACAGCCCAAAGTAAAATAATTAGTATTGGTCTCTGTGTAGGATTTGAGAGGATTCTAGTAGTATAGCAGGAATGCCAATGAACTGTTGAACTGACCCTTCAAAATCATATTAATGTATGTAAGGTTTTAAAGAATTTTGTAGAGTTTAGAGAGGCAGAGCTTGGTTACCGTTTACCACATTCAGGACTTATTTTCCACACTCTGGAGATTTCTTACGTACATACAGTACATGTACAAATGTACACGTACATGTACATGTATATGTATACATACATATACATATTTATCGGTATGGGAGCAAACTTGGCCAGGAAATTTGGTCAACAAAAGACATTGTACGTACATGTACCGGTACATGTTCAGCCTAAGTGGTGGAATTAAACAGGTCACATTGGAGCTCATGTGAAAGCTCCCATTTCTTTAGTAATTACATGTGTACACGTACGTGAAAGTGTGGTGTATTATACAGTATTGCAAAGCTCGTACATAAAATATTGATTCCTGTTGCTGGCATGTTCCTGAATTGGAACAGTATCTGTTTCCCCACTGACAAAAGGTGCAGTTGCTGATTGAAAAACAGGAAACCGTTTGGCTAATTTGGGGGATGTTATTTCAAGGAAGTACAGGAATAATATCCCTCCCTTGGATAGGCTTGTCTCTTGACAAGCAAGATACTGGTAATTGTTTGGTAGGGTTAGTGAACCCTGACTTATCTCTGTCAGAGCTTTTCACTCTGTTATTGGTCAATTTACGCGTACGTAGCTTGAGAGCTTCAATGTGCCCATTCGTGTCATGTACGTGTACATGTACTGTACTTTGTGAGTATATGAGTTTTCCCTAGGCGTGCCAAGTCATGGACAAGTGCAATTTTCAATATTGGAATATGATCAACTGCCCTCAATTCCCACCAAATAACTTCTTGGATAGTTCTGTCAGTCCTGAATCCCCAATGGAATCACAATTTGCATGTGCTTATTGGTTGTGTTAATCTCATTCTGAATCCAAAAGTCTCTTACAGTTGACAATAATTTCTGTTATTTAAACTCGCTTGGTTTAGCACTCAGGAATCTGTCCCATGTACATGTACCTGTAAGTGTACACCTGCAGGTTGCTTTTATAGGAAAGGCAGTCTAACAGTGAAGGTTCAGTGGACAAACAAATTAACTTGTTATGTGCAAATGCAGTGCTCTATCTTTGCCAGCTGGCAAAAAGCCAGTTTGTAAACTACATCTACTGTATGTACATGTGTGATGTACGGTACATGTACTGTACACTGTAGATGAGCTTTCAGGTTGAGACGATGTACAGTATGCTGTGCTGGTACTGCTGGCCAGTTGTTCTTGGTTGTATTGTACTGGTACTCTAACTTGTAAGGATTTACCGCATTGTAATGGCAACATACATGTACTGTACATGTATGTGTACGAGTACAGCTGGAAATGTGATTTGATATCATGGGAGTATTTTCTATCGGTGTGCTCATTTGAAACTGCTGTCATTTGGCAAATAAGATTTTGTGGATACCAACAGCCACCATGTGCGTGTACATGTACACATGTACAATGTATGTACTGTAGATGTACATGTATGCATGCACATGATTATTGGCAATTGTACTGTACACATGCCATGCAGTGATACTATTATGTTGGGTTTAAGCATGGCAGGCCACCCTTCCAAAATTGTACCGTATGCTGCCCCACTAAAGTTTTGCTACCCCACTAAAATTTTCAACTGCTGTGTTCACAGTTAATCGAAGCACAAACAAGTTTACTGGACCCTGAATTAGCGCGAAGAGTTTGCCAGCATTAATATTAAGAAGTATTGCATTGATTTTAATCTTATTCTGGACTCAACTTTCCGGTATGCGACATGTACGTACATGTACATCCAATATCATACATACTATTGCATACACACACTGTACATGTACATGTTTGTATCAGCATGAAATTCTGTACCCGTTCCAATACCCCTGGTAATATCATTTTCACATTATTGCATTGAGAACCAGTTTGATTCCCATAACACTTGAGTTTGAGGTCTGTTTCTCTCTTGGGAAATATCATATCCACATGCGCTGTGCTTGCGCTCTTTACAAGGTCCACTCAATGATGAAAAATTACCACCACCCCCAAAAAAAAAACTTTTTATGACCAAACCCCTTCTCCCAAATCTTGCTTTTTCATTTCAAGTTGTGAGCAAGAGCAACTTTGATTCAAAGCATCAGAGGAAAGTGGCCAGGAAGCGGGTCTACAATCGAATATTTCCCAGGGCTCTTGAGCAGGCATACCCCATGCCTGAGGACTTGACACACTCCACGCTCACATTGTGCCTGTTGCCCTGCTAGAGGCTGTGTAATACACTGGCATAACTTGGGCATTTGTTGGTTATTTAAACGAAATTGGGTTTGCCATTCATGCAAGTGTCCTGTTGTTGCATGTGCGTACATGTAGGTGTACATGCACATGTACACAATGTATGTAACACATGCAGATAAACAAAAGACACAGAGATGAGAGTGCACTTTGGCAGAATGTGTAGATGTCTTAAAATAATGCGTGAAAGAACGAAACTGCTTCCAGTGATTATAGATTTGGTTTCCTTCACTGGATATCCTGTACCGGTACATTGTACCTGGACAGCAAATCATTTGTCAGGGATTTTTTTTTTACGTTAAAAAAAATATTGTCTCTTCTTAGTATAAGTGTACATGTACACAGCTGTTGTCAAAAAGCTTATGAGCGGCATTAATTCAACTTCTGTATCACTGTAAAAGTAAATTTCCAATTTAAAGAGTGACTAAAACTAAAATGTTAAAACAGAACTCTCTTCCTAAAAAAACAGACAGATAAATGATGAAATTACATGAAATGGTATATTATCATGGTCGCAAAAACAGTCATCCCCACCAAGGCAAGTTATGTCAGTGACTGGCCATTTAAAGTGCCAAACCTGTATGGTACATATACATGCATCATAGTTACATGTACATGTAGTAACTTTCATGTGGTTTTAGCCTGACCTGTGCCATGGGCCACTTTTGTTTTAAGGGGTGTATTTAAGAGTTCCGTTTGGCTTCTGTTCCTCATCTTTAGGGCTTCAACTGCTTGGACTATTCGGTACCAGTACTGAAGTACACGTACCTGTATTTAACTGAAGCTACATCTAGGAAAGTGGTTGGAACAATGAGATGCAGGTGTACGAAAGGCACATCAATAGATCAGGTTGAAGTTTTATCAGAGCAGGTCTCGAATCATTTTTTGTTCATGTTTATGAGCCTTGGAATGTAGTAATGTATTTTAATCTGAAGAGGTGAATTGAGTATGAAGGCTACATGTAGTAACGAATTTATTATCATGTAGAGAAGTGTTTAATTTATGCCATTTTAGGACTCTAGGGCTAGGAAGGAGGAGGTTCCCACTTGATCCACCAATTGGGGGATCTGATCCACCTTTTGCCAAATTGCCGGATCAGATCCCCCAATTGGTGGATCAGATCCGGCAATTGTGTGTAGTGGGAGCGCTAACCGTTATAAGGTTGATCAGGATCAGATCCACCTTTCTTGATCCTCCTCTGGAGCAGGATACAGATCCCCCAATTGGTGGATCAGATCCTGCAATTGGCAGATCACGATCAGGTGGGAACATAAAAGGTGGATCTGATCCGGCAATTTGACCTGTCAACATCCCTCCGTGCACGAGTGGTGCGAAAGTTTTGCCATCTGATGAACAAAGAAATACATTTATTGGCGTGTAGCTCATGTGAAATTTTAAGCATGCACAGCATGCACAGTAAACAACTGTTGAACTACGGGCTAGCAAAATGTGTCACCAGGCATGCGCAATGCATGCATGCCGCAATGTGTGCCTTGCCCTTTTTCAATTTTCGTTGCGCATTCATCCGTTTCTTAACCTTTTTCATTTGTGTAATTTCACTTGCTTTCCATCAAAAACTAATTCCGTGTTAGCGCATAGCCTGCAGCGTGTGACAGCGTGTGAGTATCAAAAATGGAAGCAAAGTTTGAAGAGATAACATACTAGGCTGAACATTCAGTCCGATTCAAGGTCATCACGTCACTAGAACTCCGCACCCAAAACACCACAGGGTCACAGACATGCCGCCCCTGCACGCCACACTGCCACTGAGCGCGCGCTCAGCAAGCTAGCACATGCGCAATACCGAACTCAGTGACCTTTCGGGCTTTACATTTCCATCCGAAAAGGTGGATCAAGCGGGAACGCGACTTGCAGTATCGTTGCGGTAAGATAACGATCACACCAAATCCTGGATCAAGATCCACCTTTTACTCAATTCAAGTGGGAACACGCTGTTAATTTCATTGATTGATCAGAAGCCAGGCACTGAGTCAACATAGTAGTACTCAAATAACAGAATTGCTCACAGGGAAAACAATCATTTTACTGTAAAAATGCTCAATTTAAAAAACCTCTGTGTTTATCACTTACTGTAGATGCAAAAAAAAAACATCGGCATAAAAATACTGTCTCTAAAGAAGGGCAAGAATCAAGCACAACAGCACGTGTATGTACTCATTTGGAACCCAAAACAGTGTTCACATAAATAATGCCCAATTTTATCAAACTGTCATACTGAGAGATACATTAAAACAAAGAGCTTGGTTTACTCTTTCTAATGGCAGGTTCCTCAAAATATGGACCATAAGATAATGTTTAAGTTTGAGGGCTCATTTTTCCTGAAGTGAACAGCAGTGAATTAAGTGTAATTCCCAATGTCTGATGAAATGAGGGAAGTCATGGCTGTTATTTGGAACAATGATGACGGTGCCCATCTTTCAACTTAATTGGAGGTGACTAATTGAAGTCTCGAATGAAACCATTTTAGATGGACCTGAACAACCTGTTGAAATCCTAGCCAATAAAAGTTGCCCGAGAGTGATAATTCCTGCGGTTATTTTACGCAGATATATAATGGGTGAAAGGTGATAATATTTACACATATTAAAACTATAATCGTGAAATTAAAAAATACCTCTCACACATAACCGGGTTCCGAAGTCGGCAGTCACGAACATCATTCGATTCTGTAAAAAAATCAACTGCAACAAAAAGTGAGTAAAAGCAAAGTCAATATACAACACAAGCTTTAAAAAAGTACCCCCGAACCATCATCCTTTTCCAATTGGACCGATCACATTTTCTTCCAGTACATTCCCGAAAACCGCACTTCATAATACCAATTGTGGTGATTTTGTGGTTTCCGTCAATATCTCACGGTAACATTAGAGAAGTATTTTGCTTCATCGTGGGCTGTTTGACCTTTGACATCAACCCAGATAGTGCGCCCCCTTTTTCATTTGCTATTCATGAGCCCGTCCACAGAATGGTGACGCTCCGGAATTTTTCTCTTCCTACCAAGGTATCTCAAAAGATAATCTGTCATACTGAATGACGTTCGCAAAAAAGTGATGTCCGAGACATAAATACAATTCATGATGAAAATTTAAGAATCAGAGCTGTTAATTTTAATTTAATTTTCAACGGGAATATCTCTGAAATAAGCAGCAAAATGAACACCGCGCATGGAATTTTCAAACACTACATGTGACAGCTTTTTCGGCATTCTTGAATGTCATGCATTTTTTGTCAAAATTCTCGAACGTCATCAAAATTCTGTCAAAGATGTTTAAAATGAACATATTGTACTCATTTTATATTTTCGACACAGGCAAACTTAAAAGTTGTTTTCGTTGGTTGAAAGGTATAAGACCTGGCCAATATGCTGGTATAGTTAGAGTGATTATAGGCAGTAAGAGGAAAGAAGAGATCCAAACTATTTTTATCATTTTTCGCCAATTTTCGCTCTTTTTTTCCATAAATTGTATTTTTCAAAAGTTATTTCCTTGGTGTTTTAAAATACATCAGTTGAAAAGTATACTGAATTCTCGTTGTTCAGAGCAGTTTTGAAATTAAGTCCTCTGGTGCAGACACTTGGACGTAAAACTTTAATGAACTCAACTCCATTTGATTTGCACTGGTAGCCAACCAAATGTACACAGAAATGCCTAGTTATCTCCAAATAATCATATTTATAAATCTGAAGGTGCTAATTTTTACTTTACATGATCAAAGTCATCTTTTAGGTTTATTTTATTGCAGAACATGCCTTTTGCAAATTACACGGAAAGCAAAATTACCAAGATCCTAAGATAAGACTCATTTTTTGGGACTGGGTCACATTTATGGTTTCTAAACTTCCCCTGCAAATGCATACATGTACATTATATACATGTACCTTTTTTTTTTTACGATCGAATCAACAGGGTGAAGGAAAGTGGTGGCCAGGGCCTTGGTGACGGACACACCTCTCTCTGGAGGAGATACAGTGAGTTTGAGCTGCTGCGTAACTACCTGGTTGTCACCTACTCCTATGTGATTGTCCCCCCACTTCCGGAGAAGAGGGTAAGCCAAAGTGTCTGTTGAAGAATATTGTCACCATTTTGTGAATTCCAGTGGTAGAGTCAGAAAAGTTTGATTGACAGAAGGGAGCAGTTTTCTTAAGATGATGTTTGGCAGTTTTTTCTTTAACTGTCTTTGCAAGTGAAGTACTGGTCATTATGAGTAATCAGTGAAACAACTTACATTCAAAACAGCAACCACAGAAAATATAAAAAGTATCATTTCTGAGGAAGTGTTGGCTCCAAAAAGATACCGTTATTAGAGAGGATCTTGACATTTAACTTGGTATTCTTTGTCAATCTTCCATCTTTCACAGTGCATCAATTAATCTTGCTTCCTGTTTTTTCATTCTATCATGTAAAAGTTTCCCTTAACAACAAAAACAACATTTTAGAAGACTGTTCCACTTTCCTAATCTTTAGATTTGATGACCTAAATTTCGGAAAACTGATTAAATCTAAACTCTCTTGTCATTGGGCTCTTTGAATGCAACTTAGAATTCCAATCTGCAACCAAAAAAGGAAAAATTATTTGTGTAAAAGTACATGTATAAACACAACAAAGTCGAAGTTCTTTTTACATTAATACGGTTCCCAGGAGCCTGTCTCCGGGGAACCCCCTTTGGGCCAGAGGGGTGAGAGCGTTCATGATACCAGCGGAGTTGCTTATGCTCCGCGTGCGGCTTTGGCCCATTCCCAACAACGGCTGCACCCCAACCAATCAGACGGCGCACACATCACTCTGGCTGGTTGTTTTGGCGCGTTCGCCACACTTCTCCTCTTGCGCCGAGCGCGTACAATTTGTAATAAAAAAAACCCACCCACCCTCCGCACTGGAGGTGGGTCCCAACTTGTTTTATTTGCGTGCACTGGCAGGAAATGCCGGGCCAGTCCTAGGGGCAGCAGCAGAGCTCCTGGCCGCTCATCGTTGGCTGCTCAAACAGCACGCATACAGGCACCGGCAGGGCTCCCTTCAAGAGTAGCATTTGGGCATTCAAGATGACAGGAAGGGGTGCTCGGTCCCTCTGATAGGCCTGGGTGGGCAGATCCTGAGGCCTGCGATCCCTTCAAGGTTAAACCTCCTGGCCGCTGACCATAGGCTGCACAAGTCATGTCCTGTTCTGGGCATAAAAGCCCCAGTTGCGGGGTGGCCTCTCCCCCCGCGGGCCCCCCGTGCCTTGGGGGGTCGGGATGGGGGCAAACATTCTGGCGACTTGCTGCACACACAGTCTCTCGGTTACTGGCCACCAGTTAAAGGTCCGGCGTCTTTTGCCCGTTATCTATGTGTTAGAGTTTCGGCATCTCTTGCCCATTACACATGCATTACAAGATCCGGCGTTTCTTGCCCGTTACTTTGCATCATTAAACCCGGCGTCTCTTGCTCTTGACGCTATGGAGAAGTTCTCCATTATAGTGGTGCTACGTTGTTAGCATTGTGTACTTTGCTAATAGCTACATGTATTATTGTTGCCTTTATTTGTGTATCATTCAAGGTGTTTCTGGGGCCCCATAGCCATTCCTGTAAATCCAGAACATTTGTATTTGTTGTTTCAAGTTGCGGCTGGAATAAACGCTCGGCGAAGAAGGCTGAAGCATACCCAAAATCTGTGTTCCCGTGTCCTCTCAAGTTCTCTGGGCCAATCAAAGTTATTTTTCATTTTTGCACTTGTACTGGTAGTTGTCATTTATTTCCTCGCGTAAAACAGATTATCTGAATAAGAGCATTAGCATACATTTGTACATGTAATTATGCAGCTGTGGATAACTTGTAATGTTGTTTGGCAGGCATTGTGCTAGTTGTTGACAGTGACCGAGCTTGAAGTTTATGCTCTTTAGCAGGTCACAGAGATAGAGAAGGTCACACTGTCTGTCTGGAAAGGTCCCGATTCATCTTGAAAGCTTTTAGCCCAGCAGTATCTAAACAAACAGGAACCAGCCTCAAGCACGCAATCTACATCCTGTGAGCTCTGGTCCTCAATCATAAAAAGAAAAAATTTGTAAACCAGCCCTCGAGGTACATGTAGTTTGAAGTTTGCCTGTGTAATGGTTTCCACCTTGTAAATCACCACATGATTCGTTAACAGGTGTGCGTGGTCACAGATTATTGTCAAGCATCCAACTGGTGATGGTGGGGGGGGGAGAGAAGAGGTTTCCTGACCTGACCTGACTTCTGTGGAGGGGTGTAGGAATTGTTTGATAACTTTGCTTTAAAAAGCTCATACCGGTACATACATGTACACTGTACCATGATTGAATGGTTATACTTATTTCTAAAGGTCTGGAATTGTGCTACTGGTACATGTACAGGTAGCCCAGGTTGGACATTGTCTTCATTTACATTATGACTGACGTCCAGGGTAGAAAGTACATGTACGTTGTCTGCGGGTGTACCCGTATTTGGTAATTTCAACACAGAATTTCTGGAATTTGTGATACAAGGCACTTGGAAACAACATTTGAGCTGCCTCTGCCAGGTAAAAATGAGAGAAAAAAAAAGGTTGAAAAAAATATCATGATGGCAGGAGGACTATTTTCCCTAGACGTTAGTCGTAATGCAATGTACATGTGCTCAAAGATGATGTCCTCTGGGCTAATGTACAGGGTATACACTACTCAAAAAAAAGTTAGGGACAACTTTTTTCTGAACGTGTATTTTAAGGATGTGCAGTGATGCAAGAGACAAATGCAACAACCGAACCAACCTTATGTGAAATTACAGTGTGTTTGAAGTCACTGAGGACAGTTGTATTGGGATATTTTCAGCAGTAAAATATCTCATGTAAAAAAGAACACTTAAAATAAAAAGTGGTCCTTAACTTTTTTTGAGTACAACTTTTTTTCTCATTGCTGTGTGGTGTTAGGGTTATTAAGAATCATATTAAAAGGGAAATGCGATTGTGTTTGGAAGCTCAAGTAGTAGTGGCCCGTTTAGCTACTATTTTATATTGAATTATTAGTTCTCTATCTTTCAAAATTGGATTGCTTTATCAATACTCTTTTCCAAAATGCATGCTGTACCTGATGATATTTTATGACTTTATCCATCAATATTTTTGGCCTTATTTGTGCTTTGGTCTCAGTGTCATTTGTTCCCGGTCATTTTGCTGAAATGCATTTAGCAGATCCAAGATTGACATGTTCGAGTACATGTACGTACATGTACATGTATGTTCATTGTATTGTATGCACCAGTAGAGGAGCAGCATATTAAATTGCTGATGTGATGTAGTAGTATATGCATGATGTACCCATACCTGTATAAATACATCACTAATTCTGATGTCAATACATCTGGTGCAAGAAGCCTGCAGTTGATACAAGACTCATAAGTACCGTATCTCAAGATAAAAACAAGATTTCATAGCAGTGATGCTGGAAATGGGAGAAAAGGAAAAAAGAAAGCTGTGCCCCCTGTAATGCTCACTATTTACCTGTACATGTATGTAAACTACCAGCAATGAACCCTAATCCTCATGATGTACAATGTACATCATGTCCATGTGCTCATCCACAGATGACACTGATGTGGCAGCAACTGAGCACAGTGGACAACTTTGACGCTGACTTCATCGAGCGGCGGAGGGTGGGGCTAGAGGGCTTCCTGCAACGGGTGGGGGCCCACCAGACCCTGTGCCAAGACAGCATCTTCCATGGGTTCTTGAAGCAGGAGGACGGGTGGAAGGAAGCGGTGCATTCCACAGGATTCCAAGCAAAGGTATGCACGCCGAGGCCAGCAGCCATATGGCAAGGCAGTCGTAAGGCCATGGTGGTGTGAACGGGATCCCCTATTTAAATAGAACGAGGGTATCGAGTACCTGTTAACAGTGATTTGTAACATTGGGTGCATTACCCAGTCTGAAAATTTGGAATCAGTTTCTGGCAGTGTCGGTCATTTACTTGGGTATATCCATATCTGATCAGTGCTCAGCTTTGTATATTTGACAGCAAAAGGACCATTAATTTAGTTTTTGTAGAGTAATTGGACAAGTGTGCTTGAAGATTTAGTAGAGTTTGCTTTTGGATACGTGCACAGTACCGGTACCTACAAAGTACCAGTACATAAAGCACATGTACCGGGTATCTTTTGCAAAAGTGACAACAAAATCTCTTTTTCAAACTGTGAAAAAGTGCAGACATGCAAAACATCATAAATCATGTTGCTGTTAGAAAGTTTTGCATTTAAAAGATTCCATCTTCAACAGGCACTGTTTAGTTAATATTTCATATTTGTGAAGCTTCGTTTGCATGCATATGGTGAATTGTTTATTTTGAAAGGAAACTGACAAATGTCAGTGTTCACATGGGCAGTTGGATTACTGGACAAAACTGATCCAGGAAACTTTGGGGCACAAAGTCTTGTTCAGCACGGAAAAGTTTTTCTTTGAAGAAAGAAAAGGTAGTAAAAAAATGCTCACTGGTGGTTTTTCATCTGACTTCTAATATTCAGTGCTAAACTTGGCAAGCAACCTTTTCTGCTTGGGAGAGCTCTTCTTGACACTTTGCCTTGGGGAAAGTTAGAAAAGTTTCAGTGTCGATTTGACATCTTTCATACATGTAGTTTTGTTTTGAAGTGTGATTTTGGGCTATTTAGTGTTCCTTTCCGAAAACAAATGTAATATTGCTGCTCAATACTGCTTAAAGTGTGCTGAAGGTTGAAAATTGTCACCCAACAATCAATTTACACCTGTATTTGCAATACCGAACTCTACATGTACACTATATCCTTACATTACATACCATTGAAAAGCTTTTGATTCAAGCTTTATCCAGAAATAAAAATAATGCAACTCTTAAACAGACCAACTGTGAATGAATTCAATCTATGTTGATGGTCACTCACAAGTACTTTAACTTTCACTAGTTTCTTGGAAAAGTGAGGCGGGATGATACTGTAGCATATATTGTGTGTAGTGTGGAATGTGCCAGACGTGAGGATAAAAAAGTATGGTGAAGTACCGGCAGCACAGGATATGCAAGCTAAAGATGAACGTTACAAATTTGTATAAAATTTGTAAATTCTGTTGACTGGATTGTTTGTGCTTTCAATGGCTTCATCTTTTTTTATTCTTGAGTTTTCTTTTGCCAATTTATGTACACCATACATGTACATGTATATGTACCAGTACTCCGTGGCATTTCTTGGTTTAGCTCATCTCTATTTTTGAATTTTTTTTTGTCTTCTTGTTTTTGCTTTGCATTTATTTCTTCTTCTGTAGCTGCCAGTTGGATCTGTAGAAACACAGGTACATCCACACAAAAAATCCACTGTGATTGTCTTGTATTGTTTCTTTGAACATTGTATCTTTGTGTTTGGGTGTTATACAGTTACCATTTCCTGCCCTTACTGTTGTAAAGTGTTTTAATGGCTGGTTTCAAATTATACATTTTTGGCAGTAATGTGCGTATCTTAAAACCCAAACTCCCAACTTCACTTCCCTATGATTACCAGTTTCGTTGCTTGTACCCTAATAAGGTTTTTTCCGTGTTAGTGCTGAAGTTAAAAGTGAAATTCAATTGTGTGATGTTTTTCCTGGTTTTGTTCTAGTTACTGAAAAAATCCCTTTGAAAACCCCTAGCTGTAGAGAATGAGATGTGTATACCTGCACATGTATGTACTGGGATGTATGTGAATACATGTGCTTACATGTACATATTCATTTACATTATGTCCATGTTTAAACTTTAAAAAAATACTAACTTGGACCTAGCCTAATTGTATCGCGTACATTTGGTCCCCATAGTGTGCGTGCTTAGTTGGTTTATTTGCGCATGCACAATAGTGACACAAGGTCGTCGGCCTGAAGAATTATTGTAACAGACAACACTTATTTATGGCATGGAATACATGTACACACTCATATACCTGGATGGGAGTGAGTTTGGGTGTGAGTTGACTTTTACGGCATTGGAGTAATGCTTACACTGACGCCATAATTGCACGACTAAAAGGCACAATCTAAAACTTACCATTCTCGTTTGTATGGTTTCTTCTTGCAAGATACAGTATCCCTCACTGTTCACAAGTAGAGACATGTCAGGGAAAACCTTGCAAAACTGAATAAATACCCTCTAAAATGTTGACTTTACTTCCAACTTCTCACTCTGTTATTTTGGGGGTACCAATGTACGTGATAAAAACAGGCAAAAATTTGGCAGAAAATGAAATTTTATTGTATGTGAGTTGGCAAAAGGGACTTCAAATGTGTAAATTCCAATTGGTATTGAAATGAGGGGGAAACAACTGTATCTGAGCTTTATGTTTATTGATTACTTTTGGGGTCAACCTGCCTGAGTCAAGAGCCGTTTTGCTGGCTTCTGTTGTTAGTGAGAGTCAGTGCACATGCACAGAAACGTACAGCGCGTTCCCACTTGAATTGGGAAAAGATGGATCTTGATCCGGCATTTTAGTGTGATCGTTATCTTACCGCAACAAAACTGCAAGTCGCATTTCCACTAACGCTTGATCCACCTTTTCGCACGGACATGTCAAGCCCGAAAGGTCACTGAGTTCGGTTCGGCATGCGCTAGCTTGCTGAGTGCATGCTCTGTGGCAGTGTTGCGTGCTGGGGCGGCGTGTGTGTGACCCTTGTGGTGTTTTGGGTGCGGAGTTCTCTTGACATGACAACCTTGAATCGGGCCGAATGTTCAGCCTAGTATGTTGTCTCTTCAAATTTGGCTTCCGTTTTTGATACTCTGTTACCCACTGCAGGCTATACGCTAACACAGAATTAGTTTTTATGGAAAGTAAATGAAATTACACAAATGAAAAAGGTTAAGAAACTGACGAATGCACAACGAAAATTGTGAAAGGGCAAGGTACACATCGTGGCATGCATGCATTGCGCATGGGTGTTGACATTTTGCAAGCCCGTAGTTCAGCAGTTGTTTATTTTAAATGCTGTACACATTAAAATTCCACATGAGCTACAAGTCAAAAAATTTAATTCATTGTTCAACAGACTGCAAAAGTTTCGCGCCACTCTATGCATGGATGGATGTTGATGGGTCATATTGCCGGATCAGATCCACCATTTGCGTTCCCATCTCATCGTGATCCGCCAATTGCAGGATCTGATCCAACAATTGGGAGATTTGTATCCTGCTCCAGAGGAGGATCAAGAAAGGTGGATCTGATCCTGATCAACCTTATAACGGTTAGCGCTCCCACTACACACAATTGCTGGATCTGATCCACCAATTGGGGGATCTGTATCCTGCTCCAGAGGAGGATCAAGAAAGGTGGATCTGATCCTGATCAACCTTATAACGGTTAGCGCTCCCACTACACACAATTGCCGGATCTGATCCACCAATTGGAGGATCTGATCCAGCAATTTGGCAAAAGGTGGATCAGATCCCCCAATTGGTTGATCAAGTGGGAACGTGGTCAGAGTGAGTGGTTCAAACTTACATGTACATGTTCTTGGCATGCATATATTGCGTTACGGTATGTACCGGTACGCTGTACATAATGGAGGTAAAATTTGTAACCTTGTGTTTTCGCAACAGCAACTCCTGAGTGTGTAGTTTCAGCCTTGGCTTTGTAGGATAGGCATCACATATAATTTATATACAAGTACGGTATGCAGATAGTGGACCCAAGGGGATGGACCTTTTAAGGCTTAGGTTTTGCTGTCACTCCTTTGGTAAAGGGAGGAGGCAGGCTTTAGTATTTGTTGTTGATTGTTGACTAGGTTGTTCTCACTAACAGAATTACATTGTATTTGTGATGTGTACAGTGTACTTGTATTTCTACATGTACATAGTACATATACTGGTACACATGTATGTGTATGGTACATGTTTATTTACATTATGAAAGTCTCTGCTTGAACACCTCAGAAGGCTGTGCTTTGGAGGTACATTTACATTTACATTGACTCGAATGGCAAATAAAGCATTTCAGAATGATTGGAAATTCCTAGAAAGCCTCTTCTCTATGTGTACAGTATAATGTACATCTTCTTGCCCAACTTATTGTAGATTCAACAAAAAACACCCAGGATTGCATACATGTACATGCACACACTAGGTAAGAATGCCGTTTCATCAAGTTGCGGTCATTGTTTTGTGAGCATAACTTAAAATACATTGTCCTTTGACACTTTTTTCACGTTGTAGTTTTTTATAACCTTTGTTGCTCTTACAGCAAGATTCCAGATTAAAAAGCCTGAATGCGTCCTTTCGTCTGAAGAAACCAGACAGGTAGGTGACGAATGTACTGATTATTCATTTTTGTCTAGAAAAAAATGCATTGATAGTTGCTCGCTAGCCAAGATGCTTAAACTCTACAACTTAAACCAGAAATGTTCATGCCGTAACAAAATACACATGTCTTTCTGTGTGTTCACATTTCTACATACATGTATAAATAGTTTCCCAGGTTTGTTCAAACACTGGTACTGTACATTAATTTTACCCTAAAAATGTCTGGAAAAGAGAATTTTTGTTTCATGTACTGCAGTGCATCGTCTTTTGACTTTCATTCTTTCTGTGGAAGGGGAAACATTCTTGCTATTTTATGTATGACATTTCTTATGTTTACATTAGTATTTCCCAAATGGTGACAGAAAACACCGCATTTCACTATTCAGATTCCGTACCATCCTAAAAAAGAATTTTTCATTTCATGTACAAATATGTGTTTTCTTTTTTCAGTATTTTCAGTCACTCCACAAGCAGGGAAAAATTTTGTTCCTTGGTTTCCTAAAAAGAAATGAAAAGAAAATTGTGCATATTGTACATCCTTCTTGAGTTTTGACAAGTCAAGTAGAATTTTATTTGATCTTAGAAATTTGATTTTTTTGTGTGTTTGTGTTTTGTCAGCAGTCACATTTTTTAACATTACAACAAAAACTGTTTTAGCCTTGAAGTGAAAATCAGACAAGTTGGCCTATTTTGCCAAATTTTCTCAATTTTCTTAAGTTGCACATTCCAATTATTTGGAATATACTGGTACATGCACTATCTGCTTACTTGAAAATATTGGTCCACAAATATGCACCTTTTCATAATTGCAGTTGGCATTTCACCCTTGGATAAAACTTAATTTAAAAAAAGCAATGTCCCATTGAAGTCCAAGATACCCAAGTTAAGCTTAATTTGGGTTGTTCATCCACTGATAAAAAACTAAGAAGCCAGTTTTTAACATGTGAGTTTGGGAGAGGGGGCCAATTTTTTATGCTGCTGTTGATGTTGGACTGTTGAAAGTAGGCTGCATGTGAGATTGCAGTAAGCATTAGACTGCTGTTAACTCATTCGTTTTTAATTTCAGAAAATTTGAAGATCTGAAGAACTATGCCAGTGAACTGCAAGCTAACATCACAGCCGTGCTGAAAGTCAGAGCAGTAAGTTTCATTCCTCTGTCTTTGTGAAGCTCCGTGATTCATTCAGTGGGGCTGAATCCTGGAAAATGAGCATCAAATTTAATGAAACATGCAGTCATTTCCCTTCTTTGTTGCCCACAGAGTGGTGCAAAATGGAGTTTGGGTTTCGTTCTTGAATTTCTCTTTCTCTTTCTGTTTGAGTGTTTGTCTTCTCTTCTAGATCTCTGTACGTTGTCCTGTGGTCTGATACGTTGGCCAAGTAGACTGTTTATGTGCCTTTCCATACATGTACATATTTTGCTGTAGTGGCTACTTTGATTAAACAAGAGCTTGATGGAAAGTAAAATTACATACATGTATCTTCCCATTCTCACCAGTCATATTCTCAACAACAAATACGACGAAATATCCAGTAAAATCAAACTTTGCAAACTCCCATGTTTATGTTTGTTATTGCAAAGTCCCTTCAGCGGCTAAAATTTATAATCACATTGAGCTTGGAAGGCAAAGGAATAATTGGTATTTGAATGGAAAGAAAACTCTTTCCGATCAGAGCATGTGAAGTACATGACTAAGACTGTATTTTGATACAAGGCAAATGGAAACTTCTCATTAAGAGCTAACAAACCCAATAAAGTTGTGCCTTATTTACATTCTGAATAGTTGAAATGATTTAACCTCCAAGAGTTGACCCTCTGGAGATCAGTGGGTTTCCCTTTAACATCAACCCGGCCCCCTCGAGCTTTTGACATCACAAACCCTGTGTCCCCAACCCCACTTTAAGGGGACAAAACCTGCCAGCAGCTGCAACGTTCCTTCTCCTCTGGAGAACACCTGCGATTAGTGGGCCAGAAATTGCATGGGGGTGACATTCTTTTCCCACATGGCTCGATATGTCCTAAGGGATTGGGGTTTTCTTGAAAAATCAACGCAGCTTGTGGTTGTCAAATTTGATTTAGTGTTCATTTCCCAATGTACATCTGCAACATATTGCCAGGGCATTCCAACAATGTATGGTTTGTTTTTTTTACATTCTGTCATTTACATGTATGACGTTTCAGTTATTTTGATGCTTTGCCAATAAAATATATTCAAAGAGTTTGACAAGGATTTTTAGTGGTGTTCATGTTGTGAATAGCTTGTTCCTAGGAAATTTGAATCCATTTGGTTTCAGGAGGTGGGCATGCCAACATAGTGCAAAGAGTGCTATTTCATACTGTACTATTGTGGTAAAAGAGTACTTTGATAAAAGGAGATGAAAGTACAGGAAGTAAGCTGATACAGTGTATTACACTTTCCAACCATGGATTCTTTTTAGCAAAGCAAATAACCGCAAGCAGGTAGCTTGGTTTTGCTCAGGAATCTATTCTGTTGCATCATATGTGTACCAGTGGGAGGCATGGATTGAGGGGGGTCAGGTTAAGCATGCTTGCATTTTTTAATCACCTGTGTGACATAATTGAATTGGGTTACACTGTGATTGCCCAATGACAGCCTGCACAGAAATCTCTCACTCGGAAGATTTCAAAGAGGCTTTTCTACATACATGTAGTTGTGGAAAAGTTTTCTGTTTGTTCCGATTTTTTTTCCTTTTCCCACGTACTTACGGAAAAGCTTTTTTGTTGTGAATGATTTGTTTAAGTCACTTTGACTTTGCACATGAATTTTTGTGGTTTGCACTTTGGTCATGTTACATGTAGATGCTTGGATCTACACCAGATTTTGTCGAAACTAAGATTTCTGTTCCAAGAACAGTGAGTTTGTGATGACTTCATCTTTAGTCACTTGAAATGCAAACTTGCAGTTTTTGTTGACTACATATAGAATCTCAAGTCAGACTTGCATGTACATACATGTAGTTCATACGTCGTATACACTTGGCATGCACCATACCATGTACAGGTATTTTATAAATATCATAAGAAAAATTGGAGGGACATGATGAGTTTTTAAAAAAAAATTATTTACCAGAACAGTTTTTTGTTCCATCTAAACAAAACGCAGTATTTTCAAAAATCCTTTTGTAAACCCTTGATAAATCAGGTACATGTACATGTGCGGTGAGGGTTATTTTGGGAAAATGTTTTGATAACCTGATTTTTCATCAAAAATTGCCACTTTCGATTGACATACATGTATCGATCACTGGCCAAGGTCATATTCAGTGGGGAGGTAGAACCTAAGCACCTGATCATTTTTTCTTTTTGATTCTATCATTTGGGTCATTCCATGAGGTTTGTGACAGTGGCAGTTGTGACGTGTACATCCGCAACTTTTACCACCAGTCATAACCTGTAGAGTACATGTAGGACATTTACTTTGTAAAAATAACACATACCTCTGTATCCAGCTTTGCAAGATGTTTAACAATATCAATTTGGAATCCACATCCAGGGAAATAGCTGTTCATTTTTACAGAACCGATGTAACAACTGAAACTGTCACTAATTGTACATGTACCTCATCCTCATGGAATGACCCATTTGTTTCTGATCACATTGTGTGGATTTTTTTTTAGATTTCAAAACCAATTGAAACTTTGGACGTCGAAAACACATTCAGAGAATTTGTTACCACTGTAGTGATATTGTTTGATGATGTCATCAAGAGCAGTTGTGTTGATTTCAAAATCTTTTTGCCAAGCCCTTTAGCCTTTTTACGTTTTCTCACCAATAACTTGGTCATGTCCTTATCAAACCAGGCCAAATCAGTGATTTATTTAATAATATGGTTTTTGATCAATGATGTTACAATCTTGTCATCCTGCTCTCCTTTATCAGTTTAAATTTCTGCACAATTTCCAAGGCTTTGTACAAATAATTTTGGTCTGCAAGTCAAAAGCAACAAGTCTTGTTCTCACTCAAAAGCTTTTGTACATGTATGTGGAAAAGCCCTGTGTTCTGTTGCTTAAGAAACATGTACACGTCGTGTTATGGTTCTACAATGTAGTTTCTTTTTCTTCTTTTCAGTTTTTGTGTTTTGAGTTGAGGCAGAAATATCATTCACTTTTAATGCAATCACGTTGCAAAATATTACACATCTGGTGTCTAGGTTACAAGCCTAGTACAAGTCTTGTTCTTACTCAGAAGCTCAAAATGTCTGGTTTCTGTTTGATACTCAGCTTATCCATTCAAATACATGCTAATGTGTAGTGTAAGGTGGGGAAAAAATAACATCTTTACAATTACATTTACATGTACCGGTACACGTAGGGCATTTGAAAATTATTGTGCAAGTACATGTGTGCATACTGGTACATGTACATGTAGAATGTGGCTTAGAGGACAGCAATGTGGAATCTACATGTACATGTATATACATGTAGCTGGTTTCATGCAGAATTCTGACCCAGCTGCCAAGCCTTTGTGGTTGTTTGTTTTGAAAGCAGTTTATGAGTTTGTTTAATAACCAGTCATGCATACTCATTGGAAGCACTGCATAGTTTGGTTGCTTAATTTCCTATTGTTATGTTTTCATACATCAAGTCTACAAATTTAACTAATGAAATGAAAATGTTTCTTTCAAGTTGCTGCTGATGATGAGCAGACGGAACGTGACTGTGTTCCTGACTGTATTGTTATGTCAATCCTGTTCTGAATGTCAAGGAAGTGCCACATGCTTTCCAAGAATAAAAGACACAGGATAATAAATTTGTAGAGTTTTGGCCATGTCACTCCTGCTCTTAGCCTTCGTCAGAGGGTATTCAGAAAATACAGCAGGGGTTGCTTCACGTAATGTGTGCCCTCTTCTGGGATAGCATTTGTTTACAAAGCACAGTGTGACTGTATTGTCACTATGGCAACATGCCCCCACAGGGCTGTCTGACACAAATGGGTCTGACATTTTGGGGTGTTGCTCTGATTCTGCAGTTCCCTGCTTGTCGAAGTTTTTGGATTGGATTTGAGAGAAGATCAAAATAGCAGCTTAGAGTGGCCACCAGTCGTATCAATGTAGACCCAACACCAAGCTTGCCAATTCTGTGCATTATTTTGCCTGCACGATGGAAAAGCGAAGTCACACATGCAGCATATAAGCTCACAGCAGACTTCTGGGTTCAGGAGAGATGTGTCCAATGTACATTTTAATTTTCAATTCCTTCTTAGGGAAAATTGGCAAAGGGATGCACAGCCCTGTGCCATGAATCATCCAACTTGTTGATTGGCAATAATTCTGTGGCTAGGATGATTCACCCATGATCCGCACCATGTATATAATGTGCACAGCACTTGTCCCCATCTGCGTCAGCAGGATTTGTGAAAAAATTGGCCTTCTATTCATATCCTGCAAGGGAAACAGTTGATTGAGCACACTATTTGGCGTTGTTTTGTTATTAAGGATCCTGGCACTTCAAGACTGTCATAGAACAAAAGAGGAAGAAAGCCATTGAGCCAAATCAAGTCAGGTGTCATCTGACTTCCTCGTGGTCATTTGCACCTGACCACCGTTACCTGTCATGGTAGAAATTGTAAAATGTTGTTTGCATGCTTGTAGCTTGGTACCCATTCTCCTTTAATGACGTAGTATTTGTACAGACTTGCCTCTAGGTGTAAATTGAGTCCATGTTCAAGTCATGAGTTTGTGATTAGCATGTACCAGTAGTGATAGCCTGAGCCCCTTGAAAGACATTAAGTCTACATATACGTATGTACAAGCAGGATCTTGCTTGCATTGAAAACAAATTTTGCAGTGACCAAGATCATTTCAAGCATAAACCTCTTTGGCAGGTCTGCTGTCAATTCTCAGAAAAAATTCTTCAATGTTGTATCGTTTGCCCCCCCCTCATTTTTTAAACAGCAAATGTCCCCTACATGTACTTTGCCTTGGAGTAAATTTCCTGGTTCTGATTGAAGAAATATAAGAAAATCAAGATTCTTTTCAAATTTTTAAAAATAATCCTCATTCACCAATTCACTTTTGTCCTCTGACTCTCACTATTCCATGGTTTAACCCCAGCTCCCTTTTACTGGGAGCCTTCCCAAAGCCTTCAACATCTAAGGCCCCCCAAAAATGTCTCTGGTTTCTGGTCACCATGCGCATCACCATAGACCTGCGCGTGAGCAAAATAAAGAATTTTTATTTCGCATAAAACAATTTCCAAAAGCCACCAGACTTACTTGATCAGCAGGAATTCTGCTACCGCAATTTTAACGTGTTCTTGATTGGTGGAATTGAGTAATATGTACGGTAAAGGAATTCCCCTAGGCCTCCACCCATTTCAGTCGGGCACTCTTATCAGATGACGTCATCTGAATCAGTTGGCTGTGGCTTGATATCGTGCATAATTCTATGGGAACTAGCCGTGGGTGCTGCCATATATTCGTTGTAATTTATTTCCGGCCGTAGCCAATTGATTCAGACCCGGGCCCACGTATGTCTGTTAACCAGACAAACGAAGTGGTCTTGCGTCCTGTGTAAGTATACAAATTGAAAAAACTTTTGAGCAACAAAGGGTGAGCGGCCAGTCTATTTCAGTGTCGGTGAGGCAGTGGCAGTATATATGCATGCAGTTGCAATGGGCATCGCATTATGACAACCATACATAACTCGTGCATCATTGATCGTCACTTGCCAAGAACAAAGGTATATTAGAGTGAGAGAAAATTTTATTTTCTGAGCTGAATTTTCTCCCCAGTATGTTAAATGCAGCTCGTTTCTTATAAGCTAAAACAGACAACAATGTGTACAGTATGTCATTTACCTTATGAGAATTTTGTTTTCATTTTGACTCTGGAGCTGAACTGTTTTCATTAATTTTTTCATAGGCTGTTTGACAAGCAACTTGTTTCCTCTAAGCTAAAGCAGAAAACAATGTGCAAAGAATGTCATATACTGCTACCTCATGAGAATTTCATTTAAACCGGAAACTTGAGCTGAACATTTATTTTTCACACATGATTTTTCTATGGTTGTGCTACTGTGTTTTAACAAACTCAATCTTGCCAAAGATAGAAGCCTCTTTCTTGAGTGAGAGGAATGAAACCACTGCCTCACATCATATTTCATGGTATTTTTACTAATTCAAAGTTGCTAATTCACCCTTCTCATGTAGTAAAAAGGCCATGCACTCTAAAGTGTTTGTGCATGTACATCATTTCTAAGGAAAAGACACAGAGAAAAAAATGCATAACAGCACCACTTTTGGACCAAGCCCATGACCAGAAACCGGAGTCTTTTGGGGGGGGGGCCTAATACAGTTGTCTGTTATGAAACTTTGAAAGAACATTAAGTCCCAAGCTAAGTAATAGTGGGTGGACCATACCCTCAAACTCCTTGAAATCTCCTTGCTGATGTCTTAGAATCAGTTAGTTTGTGGGTTATGCTTGTTGCATCTTCACCTGATTTGTTGGTTCCTGAGATCTTCAGTTTTCCCTCCATCCATGCATCAGATTTGGGTATTTTGCCAATTATGTCATGACATACAGATGTTTTGCTTTTCCCGAGCACATGGAACTGATTGTGTGTTCAGCTAAGTTCAGGCTGTCTGAAATTCACTCTGAGCTTAAGGGAGATGAGACAGGATCAGAAATCACCTATGGGAGAGGGGCAGTGGCACTGGTCCCCACTTTTGTGAGGGGAGGGCGGCATGGCCCGCCCACTTTTTGCAGGTCCTATAATGGGATATGGCTCAATAGATTAGCCTTTTAATGGTAGATACCTGATGGTCTCACAACAGCCATTCCACCCTGTAAAAACTGCCTCTACAAAGAGACACATATCTGGAAAACATGTACATGTGCTTTGCAACATCCCCAGGTACCATGTTGTCTCTGAGTTGTGTTATCAATTTTTGTTCCAGACAGGATATCCAGTGTTAAAGATAAAACGGATGCCTCCTTAGGAGGCTGGTGGTTAAGGCAGGTAGCTGCCAGTGCGAGGACTGTAGAGATGACTGAGCTGCATCCCTTCCTGGGATGTGAATTATGTTAAAACATTGACACGAGGGAGCAGTCTTGCCCAATCATGTGTACATGTACATGTGAAAGGGAGGGACTGAAATATTAAGTTGAAGGTTTATGTTTGGCTGCTCACAAGAGCCACATATGGGTTCAAGATTCAATGCAAGTCAACTTCCTCAATACTGATATGGTTTGCTCATGTCAAAGTACATGTAAGCTGTGCGTGCAACATTTCAATACATGTACTCCTGGTAGATTTCCGTTCAAATATGCAATAAAACTGTAATGCGCAGTTGTCCCCTTTCCCAATATTGGAAATGAAAGAAGAAAGGCACCTTAGTTCCACCACCCTGCCATTTCAAATATATTCCATACATGGAGGGTGCATCATTGCACTCAGATCCTGGAGACTCTGTAAACGAAAATGGAAGGGTTGGCTTTTAATCATGTAACTAGACACACTGCACATAATGTCGTCATCCTTTGGCTGGTCGGTGGGCAGGGGCTCCTCTCATGTTTTCTGCAGAGACTTATGCACGTTATCAGAGCTTTTGAAATTCAAACCTTGCCAGAATACATGTTTATATACCCCAGTGTACTGTACCTGTCCTACCTCAGCAAGCCGGTCATAGCCATAGTCAAGGTTATCCTCAAATAAGATTTTCTCTTCCTATGTTGATGCAGTATGGCCCCATTTCCTTCAACGTTTCAACATTCCCTTTTCTTATTGATCTTTTTCCGCGTACTTCTGACCATTTGCAACCCAATCCTGACTCACATAGTAATGCAGTGTCTAAAGTATCAAATTTTGTACCCTATCTTGGCTCTTGTGTCCTTGCAGAAGCTGGTGGACAGGCTGTATGGCATACACAAGATCCACGGCAACTATGGCCGAGTCTTCAGCGAGTGGAGCGGCATCGAGCAGGAGATGGGGGATGGACTGCAGAGTGCTGGCCACTTCATGGATGCGTAAGAATGTTATCCCAATGAATGAGATCTAAGGCCATCTGCGAAATGAGCTTCCAGAGCTATTCAGACTCAGATCCAGACTGACTTTGATTAGCCTATTTCAAATCAGTGTTCATAAACGCAAATCAGTGAAAGGGACCCATCATGTTGGCATTGTTTGTTGTGATTACAAAACTTTTCTGATAATTGAAACAAGTAGTCTTCACAAGCGCCCTGGGCACTGTAGCTCAAAGCCTTTATGGAAGTATTAAAGCAGTTACAGTTTCTAAGGGGGGCTTTGAAGAATATACTGAGTAAACCCATAGTATAAGGTAGGGACTAAAAAATATCACAGTGCACACGATAGACCAGACTGGGACTCAAACATCGGCCACAAAGGTGAAAGGAGAGAACCACTAAGAACCTCTAATCCAACCTGAATCTCAGTGTTTACTGCTTTTTATCATTACCCGAGTGCTCAAAAGCACGTTTACCATGTAAACTGTAATAAAAGCTGCTACATGTACATGTAGTAAACTATAAAGTAGTGGAACAGTTTTATTCCCATTTACAGTCAGAAATTGAGGGGACAAAATTTACTTTCCATTTTTGATGCCAAAACAGACAAGAGTTGGTACGTGTGGATGGGTTTGGGTGTGTTTCACTCTTTGTTATAGACTACTCGGTTATTTATAGTTTTAACAGGTTTGCGTGGATTCAGAAAAGGGCAAAATTTTCAGTCAGCAGGAAAACTCTACACCACTCTTGAAGCAATATCTTAAAAGTGTATTTGTTCCCTCTATGACATTTTCATTTTCCTTCTTCCTTTTGGCTTCATAAATGGCCTGACTAAGCTATTGAACAAGTGACCGCAATGTTTTGTCACATACCCCTTTTTAAACGATAATTTGCATTGCAATACTTGGTGACAGGATTCCCTTCTGTTCAAGATCCAGTGTCCTAAGCTTTTGGAATTCACATGTCCAGTCCTCTGTTAACCAGCAAAGTCACTGTTAGATTGTGTGAAAGTGAAGTCGCACACTACATGTACCAACGCTCCTGTCTATTCCACCAGTGGCAGTGCTTGAAGAGTACATGTATTCCCAGTAGCTAGGAATTGAGGTCATTGCTCTCATATTGTGCTGCTTTCATTCCTCAGGTACAAGGACTACATCGATGACTACATGAATGAAGAGGAGCAGATAGCTGATCAGCTCAAGGAGTACATCTACTTTGCTGATGCACTCAAGTGAGTGGAATGCTACAGCTGCTCACACTGTGAATTTCTGCTCGGTTAAAATGCAGTTTCTCGGTTAAAACTGGTGTGTGCCGTCTGATCACTCCATTTAACCGTGTTCATTTTCTGTTAAACCTGGGGTAGCAAAAAAAAAAAAAACAGTGTTAAAAATGGGGCTCTTTTTGGAAGCTGGTAAGGAGCTCTGCTCATTAACTCTGCGGTCAGTTTTGTAGTTTTGCAGCTCAGATAGCAAGGCTGGCTATTCGGTTAAAACAGGGACCTTTTGGGGAATCACACTCTGCAGTCAGTTTTACGGAGTATAATCCCCAAGGCCAGATGAGTTCCTTTGTGCGTGGTGATCATACCGCATTAATATGCTGCCCTGCCCTAATCCCTAACGGTATACTAAATAGCTTTTAATTGCCACTGATTGATACAAGTGAGTTCTTTGCACCTGGACTCAGCACTTCCTAGGCCTATCCTTCACCTGAATGTATTAGTTTTCAGGCGTCATGCAGCGCACATGTATTTCAGGATAGAGACATTTTATTTAACGCATGGCAAATCCCGCTGAACAATCGAGCCCTTCACGAACGGGCGGATCCGCAAGTTTGTGTATATATCACAAACTTCCATGTATCCTGAAAATTTTTGCTACAAGCTCTTATGTCAGCCTTGCCACCAAACCACAGAACTGAACCTGAACCCTGAAGTTACAATGTACATGTACATGTAAGTATGGCTTTTCAGCCGGCTTATTACAATACTAAATTCTCACTACATTTGTGCTTATGTATGTAATTCGCGGATTATGTATACTGCGTATTCGGTATGGTTTGGATTACCAGGTTCTTGCCAATTTATTGGGGCTTATGGGCCGGCAGTACAATACTGCCTTGGGTAGTTTTAATCAGTAAAAGGTTCTGCGCGCTTGACGAATGGTTAACATTCGACTGTGGGTGCCACCATCATGAATTTTAGTGCTAGCGCAGTTGATTTTGTGCATGCAGAAAACAGTCACTTCCGATTAAGTGTCATTAAGGACTAATGAACGGTAACTATACCAATAAAACTTCAGTTGTTTATTATAACTAAACTACTCCAGACACACGTATCATTTTTATTCAAACAATTCATTGCTTTTTTTGTCAAAAACCAGTGATTTATCATGTAAACGGGTGCGGAAATACCTCCACATTCATTACATTGAAGCCAAATTGAACTTGTGGAACGTAAGGAAGATGCTTGACATTTCCCCCCCAGACCGCTCTTTAACTAGGTAATAAGTGGATTTACCCAATGGGACTCTGCAGGTTGTAGCACGCCATCTCTCCACCGTTAAATCACGGTTGAAATGGGTGACTGTTCATTTGTACTGTCGATGGACCAGGAGAGGATTAGGGCTTGAATAACAAAGTGTGGTGGGTTCAGTTGAAACACGGTTAAAATGGGGTGAACATTTTGGCTTGATCTATGCGGTTAAAACGGGGTTTAAATCAGGGTGAAATACATTTTAATCGAGAAACAACATTTAACTCTATTTTAACCAATCCAAATTTCATAGTGTCATTGTGCGGTACATTCTGTGGATGTTTGATTGTGAGCAGGAGGGGTTACCGTGGGAGTGGGATTTGCTTAGAGTAGTTCTCTTGTAGTGGCTATGGGATAGTAAACTTGGGTTTGTCGTCTTGATGGAGCAATTTGTTGTGCAGTGTGGACTCTGCACACTAGTTCTATCTTCATTGGTTGCAAAGAGATATTAGATACGTGTTTCATTACTGTGGCCACGTCTCAGTTTGCGCCTTTGCAAAAAAGTATGGGTTTGTGGACATTTTGAGGAATACCAGTTTTTTGTCACACATTGTGCTTATCAACCAGTACACGTGGCAGAGCTGAGCTTTTTGTGCTGTCACATTGTGCTGCCTAATCGTTCTGCTCAGCACTGACCTCTTTAAGATCCTCAGTTTTACTCATGACCTCCTACTTTCACAGGGACCACTTGTAGACCACATGTCCTCCATTTTCCCCTAGTCTGTCCAAAAATTGTGACCATGGTTTGCTGGCCATAAACTTTTCAGGGTGTCTTGATGGCATTTAAATTCACAACTGCGTACACATTTAGATGTCTTAACCACAGCATTGTTTTACTTATAATCCAGCATAAAAATGAAATAGTCTAATTCAGACTTCACTTGGAAAAAAATAAGAAATTTACAGCGGAGTGTTCAGAAAAAAGGGAAAAATATGTTACAGCCAGGAGGGATGTATTTTAGTTTTCAGCCAGTTACTTAGTCAAACCACTAAGGTTGTCTGGGAAGGGCCACTGTTCACTTCTTGCCGGTATGGATTTATTGTTAGTTTGATTTTTTACACTTTGCTTCAAATTCCTTGTGCATTTATGTCTGTTGTATTCCACTCCTCAGATCTGTCTGCAGGAAGCAAGAGGTCCTGCAGTACGAAATGGAGAAGGCAAGTGACTTGCTCACTGCCAAGAAACTACAGAGAGATCAAGTTCTGGTATGTTTTGAGCTGGTTGGTCAGTTCTTTCCTGCATGCATCATGTGATGCAGATAATTGGTATTCATAGGCATTACAGGGGCGATTTGTAAATGTCCCTGGTTGTAACGTTGTTGGTGCTATTTTTTAATATTCAGAGTTTCGAAGGTAATGTGAGAGCAACCATCTCTTGAGAATTGTTCTCCCAGTTCAGAGAAGTGCATTTTACTAAACCAGCAAACTTTTTTCCATTTGCTAGGTGTAGTGTCATATTCTTTGTGTGTGATTTCTTTGCAAGTGGTTCTCACTTGGTATTCCAACTCTTGGAAATAGCCTTCTAGGCTAATCCAGGGCTGTAGTGGAATCCAGTTACAAGTCCTTTCACAAGACCTGTCATGAGTAAAATTGAACACTAACAGACTGATGCTTTTTGGCCAAACCTTATGTTGCAGCTTGGTTTAAGACTAAATGACTTGTGATGGACTTATAGGGACTTGTGGTGGATTTGACTGCAACAGTGGATTAGCCTACTCACAATCAGATGTATTGTGTACTTGGTAAGCGTGAACTAAATTGCTTTTTTTTTTCAAAAAGTCAGATCTAATAAAAGTCAGATCTAATAACATGAGATCAGGGAATGGAGGGACTTCTGTCTTTCCAACAATATCATTGTGGATTTTCTGTTGCTCGGTATTTTAAAATTTTTATAACATGGTTGTTGCTGCATTCAGGGTAATGCACCCAGCAAATCATTTTCCTTCCGAGGGATGAGATCAAAGATATTTGGGCCGGAGAGCCAAGAATCGAAGGACGCTCAGATCAAGGTGCTGGAAGAGCAGATAGAGGAGTGCGAGCAGCACCTCAAGCAAGCAACACAAGAAACAGAGTAAGTTTTAGTCAGAGATGCTCTTTCACTGAGTTCTTACTGCCAAAAGATACCAGGCAAAAACTACTACCGTCCACATGTAATTTCATTAGAAAAGTTGTGACAATTCGTCATCCCTGAAACCTCAGTCCTTCGGAATATCAACAGCTACAAAATGAATTAGTTTAGTAATATCATTTATAAAGCCCAATGATATGTTTTGAAATACACTTGATTAAAGACATTTATTCATTAATTTCATATTCAGCTAAACAAGTTGCTTCTCAAGGTAATTTTTATGCACTAGTTCTTCTCCTCGTTTTTCTGTGAGCAGAAGGTTCATTGAAAGTGCTTCAGCGGAGGTGGAGAGGTTCAAGAAACAAAGGACAACTGACTTGAAGGAAATTTTCATCAACTATGCCATTTTGCAAATCAAAATATCAAAGAGGGTAAGTCTTTCCCACACAAGGATATCACGGTTGACTTGAAATACAGTGAGAGGGAAGTTGCCATGTCCACTTTGAGTAAGTGGCCTACACGAGAATCTTGCATCGTGTAAACCAGTAGGAACCCTCAATACTTCAGGATGGCAACTTGCAACCAATCAAATATCATGCTGAGTTTGCTCTTTCTAATGCACATTTAAAGTTACTGAGTTACAGACTGAGAGAAAAGGACCTTCTAACTTTAATACTCTGCTGGTTTTGGTCCCAAAATGTCATTAGTTGTTCAAGAAGGGTCTTTCATCTACATTTTATCTGCCTGGGGCAGGTTGTTAGATGATCTCTTGTTGAAGAGAAATGTATTTTAGTTTACTGTAGAGTTGGCCAAACTTGTTTAAGTTTAAAAAAAGGAATAATTATTATCAATTAAAAAGTATTTCTTGGAACAGCACAAAGGCTTCTCTCAAAGGCCCTCCTCCAAAACAAAAACAAGGGAAGGACATTATAAAGTTTTTGATCTATTAGTTTAGGGGTAAGAGTGGTACCACAAAATGTTGAATGGTAACATTGTGAAAATATTTTGGTGCTTACATATGGTACGTTCATAATCATTTTTTCCATTAAAGTGTCATATCAAATGTTGTTTGTTTGCTCCAAAACATTTTGTAACAAGTCAGAGAGCGACCACAGATGTTACCAGGGACTCTTCATTTACACTGACTGACCCCCTTCCACTTCTGAAACACTTCAAAATGTCACAAAGCTATCGCTAAACTTATGAAAGATCCCTGTTGGTTTTCTGGAGCAGGGATTTAACCACTTCATGCCGGGGCATTTTTCAATGTTGATGATGCTGGGCCGGCATGACTCATTTTTTCTGTTTTCAAAATCCTTCAAAAATTCATCATTTCATTTAACGGTCGTTTATAGCCACACAAAGTAATCTTTAGGCACTACTCTAAGTTGACAGGTGACCTTCATTGACGCCCGAGTATTTCAGTCAGGCCAGCAGCCTTGTAAACAGAGACCAGATTGTGCGGTGTTGTATAACTGTCTTTTGTTCACGAACCTAGTGCACTGCTGACCTCTTTTCAAGAGGGGCCAGATTAGAGTGCAGCAGTGCTGTGTGGCTCATTGCTGCAGTGGTGGAGCGCTTTTGTCCCCGGTGGTAATCCGCTTGCTCTCAATGCCCCAAACCCTGGTATACGGTTTCAAAATAAGGCTGGATTATCTCCACTTTTGAGAGCGAAAAATGTCTGTAATGCCCAGCAGCCTGGTCTTTTGTTTGGCGTACGGTCTTTTGTTACAGGGCCCTGTTTCCTTTGTCCGAGTTCGGAGACCCCGGCCACCCATATAAACCATATGTCTGCGATCCCCGAGTCCCCAGCAGGAAGTGGTTAATTGTTACAGTTCTCAGGCTCTAATTTTGTCTAAAAACTGGAAATTGGTTTCATACAAGACATGGCAGATAAGTCAGAAATATGTATGGATTTATGACAGTAATATTTCTCTGTTTAGACACTTTTTTATCGTGATTTTTCACAGGGAATTGCAGTGTGGACCAACATGAAAGACTGTTTCCAGAAGATGTGATTCCAAGCAAGTACTGCCAGAAATGCCTCTAAAGTTACTCCAGTTGCCATGTTTCCTGCACTCAAGATATGTGGTTAATAGCTGGTCCATAGCTTCCTTAAAAGCTGGGGTCCGATTTCAGCAAATTCAGATGCTTCTCAAAATCTTGTCATGAACAGTGTACATGTACATCACAGGTGCATTTGGCCGTAACTGCACGTTTATGCTAAGCAGAACTCTAGTCTAGGCTGAGCGGATTGGCTGCTTAGTAGCTGTGCATAAAAGCAAGTTCGATATTCAGACAGCAGATGCTAAAAGTGAAGCGTATTGTAGGTCATTAGAGGTCAGCCCTATCAGGGTGACATCAGTTCTCAAATGATCCTAATTGTCCTTTCAAAATACCCAACTGCCTCATCGGCCTTCCATCCACATGCTCTACTCTGGAGAAATGTGTACCAGCTTTGTGCGTACAGTGTTATGCGTTACCCACCCTATGAGTATTAGTAGTTACATTGCCCGTAAATGCTATCAGTGTACAGAGTCGATGAAATCGACTTGTGTTGCCTATTTGTAGAGTTGGTATAGCTGATTAAATCAGCCGGAAGTGCTTTCCAGAGAGTATAAAAGATGTATACACTGTTGTTGCACTGTCCTTTCAGACCAGTGCCTGACTTTTTTCAAATTGTTGTCAGTAATTATGTCAGATTACCTGCCTTTTAAAAGTGGTGGAGGAAATATGGACACTTTCAGCTTCAAAGACGCACGGAGCACGCAAAGTACATGCAACATGTCAGTGTCTTCTCACGATAAGAAGTCGGTTGGTTGTTAAAGAGAATCAGAGTTATCGCCCATGTTGAAAGTTTTTCAAGCATGTCTTTGCAGTCATTGTGTAAATCCCAGTGTTGAAATAACAATTTCTTATCTGCTGATTACACCAAAACTACAAAACAAAACTTTTTGCACCATTTAAAATGTTCTCAATTATGCATGTCTGCTGGAGAAATACTTCACACCACTTAACATTAATGACAAAGCGGTCTCTTAATTTATCTAAAAAGAATTCCAGTTAGTTGTTTATTTGGTACTTGGCTTGAAACTGATTTACATAATACCCTGAACAAAATGTGACATTATTTCTTTCTCTTTTGGTTTGAGGGCAAGGCATGTCTGATGGAATTTTTTCATTTTTATTGGTCAGTTTATTTGGGCCAAATGCAGTCTGCTGTATGGTTTATTTTTATTTGATAATGAAACTTAAAAAATTCCTCACATTTTGGAGGTTCTATTGAAATTTAGTTAAAAAATGCTTTATCATTCTTTTGTAATGACTTCTTGAGGTACTAAATTTAAATTATTTGAAAGGAATGTCAATGCCAATATTTATGATTCTTTTATCAGTTGTACATGGACTTTGAGTAAAAGGGGGAAACCAGAAAACAATTTCAAACTCTGCAGGGGTACAAAAAAGTAGTGTAGCTGATCATTCTCCACATACACATTTACTGCCTCTAGTTGGATAATCTTTTGTTTTTCTTTTTTACATTTCATACATATTTATAAGTAAACATGCCCTTTCCAGTGGTCAGTATTTAAACATTTCATGGACGTGAAACTGATGTAACTGACTCGAGGAATGCCACAACCTGCGCTGGCATACAGATTGGTACTCTATCCACAGATTGATACTCAACCCAGGCAATACTGTATTCAACTAGTGATCACACATTTTTTTAGCCTGAAGCTAGACTCGTCAGGCATATGTGTGAATGTTTCTGTTACCCTGCTATAGAAGTGCTCATCTTCCAGTGACTGGCCGCTGTTTCAAAAGATGTTCTTCTAAAACCTTGGCCTTGACAGCTTCTTTAGGGATCAGTTTTCCAGTTGTATGAGGTGCGAAATGCAATAAGTTTAACCTTTTTATTTCTGGAATGGTATACAACTTAAATGAATTCCTTGACTTGGGCAATCTCTTGCTGCCTCTCATCTGGAGGTTGTATGGTCAGCTAAGATGTTCATTATGACTGTTGATCTTTCTGCTTTATATTTGTTTCACCTCAGAATTGTGTGGGTTTTGTTTTGGCCAATGTACAGTGTATTATCCCTTTGGCAGTCTTTACCGATGCCAGTAAACTTAATGATGGTGGGCCAAGTGTTCAGTGGCGACATGAAACACACTGTCAGAGTTCACATGTGGCTGCTCATCCGATTTATTACATTTCAAGATGGCCACATCTACCACATTGTACTCTGGTCACCTGAATGGATGGTTTTAGACATGATTGTGCAATATTGTTTGTCATGATCTTGCACAGATGTCTGCAATTTTTTTTTGTTTTGGTAATAGGTTTTTTTAGATGAAATCCAAATGATATGTAACAGCTTTATATCTGTTGGCCCATGCAACTCATTTAAAGTACTTTTTTTTTTTCAATTTTTTGACATCAGTCAAACATTTGATGAACAGTTCATAATCAATATGTATTTCAATCATATGTTGTTCAAAGCCACCTTTTGTGGGTTAATTGTAATTGCTATCAGAATGTGAGCACAAACAATTGATCAATAAAATCATGAAATCAGTGCTTATTTAGGAGTTGTCTGATTTATTCTTTGTAAGAAAGTTGTCACGCTATGAAATAGAAAAAGAATTAACTGAAAATAAATCTTTAAATTATCACCAAAAAACTTGTCTCTATCCCTGGAGAGCTGGTGTGCGACTTTTTCATTGTGTTAGTTGATTTCTTAATGTGTTGGTAAGTTTATGCTTTTACAAAGAGAAAGACACTACCATTGGTGGATTGGGGAGCCAAGTTCAGCCAACACCAGTTTTTGTAAATAAAATGAGCTAAAATCAATTTGGGGAATTTTATTTCTGTTTACCCCTCCTCCCCCCCCCGATCTTGAATATAGATCTAAAATGACCTTATTCTTTCTTCCTGGTTACACTATTCAGGTTATCATTCATGACTTGGAAGTGATTTTCATTTTGCAAAAGAACAGCAAATTCATTAGCCAATGGGTTTTGCTTGCTATTTAAATTTTTTGTCACAAGGCATATTTAACTTATAAACAAAGATCTAGGGATCTTTGTTGCTGGCACTGCTTTTTAGTTGATTGGTTTTGGATTTAAAAAAATGAATGTGGCTGTTCGGGTAGTTGTTCTAAAACTGAGGATTTCCCACTTGATTGCAGCAAATGATTTTCAGCAAGTTAATGTAATTGATCCATTTTTATGTACTTGCCTTTTGCAAATTGCTGAAGAATATGTCATTTTAAGATGCGAGTTTCATTTGTATATTGTCTACTCCCTAAATGAGAGTGCTCCTTTAATGGTAACGTCATATTTTAAAACTTCAACGTACAACTGGAAAAGATTGGGGACCCATTAAAAAGTTTTTGGTATCAGACATTCTGTTACCAGAGGGAGAAAATGTAGAAAAATGCAAGTGCCGAATTACAAAGGTCAAAGGTTAATCTCCGTTGAGTTGGTCCAGTCTGGTTACAGCCACGCGGCCCGGCTGGCATTGCACTGCCATATAGAACCGGGATACCAGGCTACGTCATTGTACCAAAGCAAAAAGGGCAGTGCGCTCATGTTCTTTGTTGTCGTTTTAATTCTGGGGCCATTTTCAGAAAGATTTTTTGTATTTAAATCGGATGAAGTAAGTATAGGCCTATTTTCACCTGAGACTGAATAGAGTAAACTTGTTTCTCAGCATGCTCAGGGAAAGATCTGGCTTCACTTGAACCACCGTTGTTGGGAAGAAAACTGGTCGCAAATTGCAGAAAAGAAGCACGCCCTCATTCGTGTCATTGGCAATTTATATGATTTGTCAAAAAGCTAGAGTTGAGTTGTAGGAGTATGTCTTCCCAAATGAGACGTGCATTTTCAGGAGGACATGGAAACGTTGGAACACCACCTCCGTGTAAGTTTGAATATTCATCTTGAGGCAAGGTCGAGTAAGGACCGTATTTAAACACAATGCTTTCGAGTCAACTACTAGTCTGCTAGTACTAGGCCTAGTACTAGTAGTACTACTAGTAAGCCTAAATGTACATGTTGGAAGACTTGGACTTGGTGGGATGACTCGTACCACGCCAACTCTTACCTTGGATGACTTGTACCTTGCTAGCCCCATTAATGTGGCCTACAGTACACTGCACTCCCCCACAGTCACATGCCCGTATACCAAATTTTTGTTGACCTTTTCAAGAGCTTTGAAATGAAAGAATTTTCACGATTAGAGGTCAGGAGGTGCTTGACAAAGGTACAATTATGTTAAGTTGATGGTACAAGTTGTCCAAGGTATGAGTTGACCTGTTCCCACCATAGTTTGACTAACTCTGGTCGAACGCACACTAGTCACTGCTAGTCGATGATGCCTGGTTGGACTATCTACATGTACCATGCCTACCAGTTGCTTGTAAGTCAACTATTCTGGGTCACATCATTGGTTAACATAAATTGGTTTCAATAGCACAGTGCAGAGAGGACCAGTGATAAGAAAAATGCCAGAATAACAGTAAGTCACTATAATCAAACGACCATTTTCACTTTTATTTTTGTTATATTGCCATTCTTGCGACCACCTTTTTTCTCCTTTGGCCTAATGACCCGACAGTGGTTGACTAGGGTCATTCACACTTCAACTTCACCGTACATGTGCTAGGTACATCACCAATAAACCACTAGTTAATTAGTGGTCGTTGATCCAACTTGCCCTATGTCATCATGGTTATGTTGGTAAGCTACACCCATCATGTCCATGGATGATTCAGGTATGATCTAATTTTGCACAATGGTCTGATGGTGGAAAGGCACTGTGGAAAGGAAAATGGAGCAAACATTGCCCCATTTTGCTTCCCACAGTGCCTTTCTAACATTGTGCAAAATCATCCTTTAAAGTATGCTGGTGCAACACAGACCAACTTAAAAACTCATTCTATTGTAAATCAATTATGGAACCACCTTGATGAGAACCTTGTCCAAGCAGACTCAGTTGGAAGGTTTAACCTCTCCTTGGTCACAGGCCCCTTTCTCCAGAGTAACATCCCACATAATTACCTTGTCTCTCCACTGCACTAATGCCAGAATTGGTTTTGCAATGTACAGAACCAGATACCCATGTAGTATTAGCGGAAAGCCTATCACTCCTCATTTTGTAACAGTCTAATTTTGCCAGCACCCGAACGCCTACATTAGAGTTGGCGCGTACTACTAACACAACTAACATCTGTGACCGTATACATGTATAGTTGCCTAGTCTGAGTACTTTGAGAACTTAGAGTTGCAACTCCATCATACTCTGTGTGACTTCAAGCCAATATAGTTTACATGAAGTCATAACGCTGTGGGTTTTACAATTGAATTTGAGAAGTGAGTGATCCACAGGTGGGGCAAAGCTTTTCAATCAAATTTTCCCCAACAGCAAACTTGAGTCGTCCGTTGGGTGGAAGCGAGAGATTGGTGATTAAAAATCTCATTTTTTCAAAATTTCTTGGTCTCATGCTCTGAAATCCTTGTCCCACCTCTTTTAAGAGCTTAAAGGTTACTCAAAATTACTGTCACAGGAAAATTTGATTGAATAGCTTTGTTCCACCTGTGGACCATTCACCTCTCAAGTTCGATTTTAAAAATCCAGTGTTACGACTCCATGTAAACTACATTGGCTCAAAGTCACCCAGAGTGAGACAGAGTAGCAACCTTGAGTTCTTGGCCTCTACAAATCGCCTCTTCTAACATTTGGACATGGTCAGTGATGGTAGAGTCTGAGAACCCTTCATAGGCCTTCATAACCGTTGACTGATGCCACTATGTCCAGGCAAAATAGCTTGTACTTCAAATCAAACCCTTGGAGTTAACCTCCAAAATGGTCCTTAAACTGTCTAATTCACCCACAATAGAATTCAGTGGGAATTGGAAATTCCAGTGATGATAGTTTTCTTAAATTTGGGAAGAAATTTTCACTTCAAATTCAAATCCTCCTGTCGCTGAGCTCCAAATCAAAGTTGTCATTTCTTCTTGTGCTTTTCAACCCATATATATGCAAAAGTGGGGAGAATATCAAAACCTCACAACAAACTGGCCGAATGGACCATTTCTGATAAGAACAAAATGTCTTTTGTGAGCTTTTATTTGGTCTTTTGTTGGGGGGTAGCAAAGAAAAGTTTCCCAGAATTTCTCTTTTTAATGGTGGATTGGTATACAATATTGTACATTTGTTTCTCCATCTTCCTCAGCCCATGGCCGCTCACATTCCTCTTCATCATCCCAGCCAGTAGTTGCAAACTACCCATCATTCAATGCAGGCAAGATTGGGAGCCCTGCCAAATCGGTAAGTCTTTGAAGAGTCTCCAAATATCACAAGCCAAGATTTTGGATTTGGGCTAGTGGGAAGTGGATTAGATAGGGTCAAACAAGTGGACTGAAGTGGAGCTGTCATCGTTACTTTTTCAGTCGGGACATGAGGCACGCATCCCCAAGCCACCCAAGCCCCCAGATAAGCCCCTCATGCCTTACATGCGCTACAGCCGCAGCGTCTGGGACAAGGTCAAGCAGGAGAATGGGGACCTCAAGCTGTGGGAGATTGGCAAGATCATCGGCCAGATGTGGAGGGAGCTGCCAGATGAACAGAAGCAGGTGTTCATGGATGACTATGAGAATGAAAAGGTCATTATCATCATCAGATACTTGTACATGTATGTACATGTTGTTATTAGTTCAGTCATTTTGTCAGAAAACCAAGGATTCCGTAAAAGTACAGCTCTCTGGTAAGTCTAATAAAACTTGTTCAGGGAAGACAGTGAAGAAATGTTCCATTTCAGAGGTGGAAGGACAACACTATGTAAATTTTTCAAAGAAAACCTATGGAATCAGGTATGAACTGAAAACCCATTCTTCATAATGTTAGCTTCGGTTGGTTTTGAACCCAAGTCAAGTACAACTCCATAAACCTGACTCTCAAGCTACACATTGAGTGGGCAGACAGATCCTTCCACTAGTTGACCGGTAGTGATCCAAATTTTTTACCTTTAATAGGACATGTCCACAATTATATATGATGATTAGATATTAACAGTAATGATGAAAACATGGCCATTTTGAAGCTAACGTTTGCTGGCACATCATGCGCACTGTGCAGGCATGCCTACCAAGTTGGCTTTATTGATGCCTAGTGTCCAGGTTTTTACTTGTGTATCCTTCTTGTTCCCAGCTGGAATACACCAACAACATGAAGATTTATCACAACTCACCAGCTTATCAAGCCTGGGTAGTGGCTAAAGGAAAAGGTACTATTGAAATCGCCACCCTTCCTGTTAAAATCATAATTTGATTTATACTGTTTTACTTTGCTTAGAATCAATCCTCTTGATTGAAATACCGAGAAGCTTTTTCACAGTTATTGTTTGGCAAAGTGTAAGCACATCTTGAAGATTGTTTTGTGTGAAATGATCAGTTATTAAACATTCGTGCAAAATGGGTTGCTTTAACATTCAGTCATAACAATCTTGCCTAGAGCTGACTCTGGAACCATATTACCTGTTGAAGTTAACAATGTAAGTTCATGAAGCAAACAAAAAAATTGCAAAATACTTGAAAATTTGAAGAGGCTTCACCAAAAGCTCCTTTCCTTTGTGCAAAAGCAGTCCAACAGCAGCAAGAGCAGGAGTCCAAGGAGCCGCGACCCAAGCCAGAGCCCAGGATGAGCATCCAGCCGGCTGAAGACGAAGAGGGTGAGGCCCTCTGCCCATTCCCACATGATTACCTTGTGGATAGTCTAAGCCATATCTGAATTAACTGGCTGAGGCTAGGAATTACAAATGGGCTTAGGGGAAGTGGCCACATCTGCCGCTCTGTGGCTTCCTGGGTCAACACTGAGTTTTCAGCCACAGTTCTTAAGCCCTAACTTACTCATGGTTCCATACAGCAGTCTCTGTGCTGAAAACAGCCCCATAGTAGCTTCAGTTCAGGTTCAAGGATGAATCCAGAACCAAATTTTTTTTGGGGGGGGAGGGCAGACGTGGTGTTTTGGGGGGGGGCTAAAAACTTGGAATTTTTATTGCCTTACTTAGGGCTTTTTACATGCTTATGGAAGGAAGGCTAATGCAAAATACCATTTTTTTCTTTTGGGCTCCTTTTGGAGGGCATGGCCTGCTGACTTCCTTTGGTCTGCCCTTCTGCAGTTTAGCATCTCCTTTATTGTGGAGTTGGCATGGAGTACCAAAGTTTGTGTGGTCTTGCTCATTTAAGATTTTAGTGTAAACATTTGAAAGAGCTGACATTCAGTCAAATGTAAAGAGGGAGGGAGTTTGACTACCTCCTTTTTGCCTCACATCGGGAGGTAGGCAAGCTGACCTACACCTCGGGACCAGTAGTTCTCATTACTTCCCCTCAAACCATGCTGTATTTTTATAGTACCACAGCATAGAAGAGTGACATTGCTCAATAGAATGTACTCCAGTTGTCTAAGAATCAGTAGTTTTATTGCTGATTTCGATGACTTAAGTAGTGCAACAAAGCCCTATACATCTGTGTACCTTTTGCATCATGTAGTGTCCGGGGGATCAGGGTTGAGTGAGGTTTTAACCACTTCATGCTGGAGCATTTTTCAATGTTGATAATGCTGGGCCGGCATAATTATCATTTTTTCCGTTTTCAAAATTCTTCAAAAATTCATTATTTCATTTAACGGATGTTTATAGCCGCACGAAGTAATCTTTAGGCACTACTCTAAGTTGACAGGTATCCTTCATTGATGCCCGAGTATTTCAGCCAGGATGCAGCCTTGTAAAAAGAGCCCAGATTGTGTGGTGTTAAGTAACTTTCTTTTGTTCATGAACCTGGCTCAGTGCACTGCTGACTTCTTTTCAATAGGGGCCAGATTAGGGTGCAGCGGTGCTGTGTGGCTCATTGCTGCGGTGGTGGAGCGCTTTTGTCCCCGGTGGGAATCCGCTCGCTCTCAATGCCCCAAACCCTGGTATACGGTTTCAAAACAAGGCTGGATTATCAGTACTTTTGAGAGTGAAAATTGTCGGTAATTCCCAGCAGCCTGGTCTTTTGTTCGGAGTACGGTCTTTTGTTACAAGGCCCTGTTTCCTTTGTCCGAGTTCGGAAATCCCGGCCACACATGTCTCCGATTCCGGAGTCCCCAGCAGGAAGTGGTTAACTTTGTTGTGTTTTTTTTCTCTTCCAAGACCAAGACGATGGGTTCTCAGTCAAACACATTGCGGCTGCCCGCTACCAGCGCAACCATCGCTTTGTAAACGATATCTTCAGTGATGCAGCCGTACCTGACCCTCGCTCAGTGGTGACTGAGGCCCGCATGCAGGTCTTGAAGAGACAGGTCCAGTCCCTGATGTTGCATCAGGTGTGTCTCCCTTTCTTTTCCTGCATTTTGTCATATCTGAATTGCAGCATGGAGCAATCCTGTCAGTGTAGAAGCATTGTAGCAGTATGTTAGTGGTTAGTGCATAAGTGTTAGAATTCAGAGGGAGTAAAAATATGGGCAATGCATTACACCACCCAACAGTTGCCACGGAGATGCTGTGACTACGTCACCTCTTGTATCATTGTATCATTAGACTTATTTCATGTCCAGAGGAGGCATACTTTTAACACTCATTCTTACATCTGGAGTTTACACCATTTTTGTCTTCCTTGATTCTTGCCTGTACCCTCAAGAAAATTCACTTCTGGCTGAAAGTATCAGAAAGTAGACCATGTGAAAACAAAGATAGTTTGTATGTTTGTTAGGAAGAAAACCATATACATAGGTTCAGTTTTCTACAGTAGACCAGTTTTATATTTCAAAAAGAAAGGTTATTTGGGAACAAAACACAGGTGCGTGTTTCCATAAGGCCATGCTGAGAGGGCAGACCTGGCACACGAGCACCCAAATAACCTCAGATGCACTTCAGTCTCGGCATGTGTTGTTGGAAACTGAATCGGCTCATTATGTATGCGTGTATGGATGCTAATGTTCAAGTTTAGTTGAATGCAACTGTTTTTTTTAAAGTTTGTTGTACCGAGTTTTATTGTCCTGGTTTTGGCAGAAAAAGCTAGAGAACGAGTTGCAACAGATAGAGGAGAAACACGACTACAAGAAGAGAAAATTCCATGAAACCAGTGAACAGTTTCACTCAGCCATGAAAAAGGTTGGTCCTTTATATTTCTTATACAGATCTTGACAAAACCTGCTGTACATCTTTATAACTGTATCTGCATTATTTTTGTGGCAAATTATGTCCATCTGACCAGAACAGTGTGAACGTTTTTAAAATGCTCCCTAAACCTGTATTTAAACTTTGAATGATAATTGGTGATGATGTATGTAAACAAGTATCCCAGTCTTCGATAATATCTTGAGTAGGAATTGTGCTCAATTTTTTTTTTCAGTATTTCCGTAAAGATCTTCAGTTTCTTTGAATTGATTCCATTAGAATTCAGTTTAAAGATTTTAACAGCATTCAGATGAACATTTACCTCAGCATGACTATTTTTAACCTTAAAATTCTTTTAAACTTCCAACTTTCGGTGACAAGTTCGGTAAAGTTTTATAAATACCATATGCATTATTTGGCACTTATCACTCCTGCATTGGTTATCCTGTTCTGCAGCTTTGTGAGCAAAAGGTGGAGATAAAGTGGGAGGAGCTTCCTCCCCCCGACCTGCCACTCCCTCCTCCTCCACAAACTCCAATGGGCAGCATACTCAGCCAGGCCCTGCAGCGGCCCAGTATAGCCCCGTCCTCCCTCCTGCCCACATACCCACCACCACTGCAGCAGGTACCCACACAGGTGCAACCCACTGCGATGCCTCCCATGGAGGTGCAGCCGGGGTCACAGATGGGGCCACAGGCAGGGTCACAGGCAGGGTCACAGACAGGATTGCAGACGGCGTCGCAAATGGCCGGACCGCAGATCAGCCCCAGCCTTCAGCCCAGTGAAGTGCAGACGGCACTTACTGGCCTTCCGAATGGGACACAAGAGCAGAAACCAGAAGATACTCAGAAGGAAGAGACCATGGAAGTTGATGCACCCGTTGGGGATTCCAAGGAAAAACCCTCCTCCCCGCCAATTACTGAAAGCAAGGAACTGCCATCCACCACTGGTGTAGGGGAAAAAGAAGGTTAGATGCTCAAACTGACCGCACTGGTTTTGCAAATTATTTGTTTTGATAAAGTACACAAAATACCACTTTAAACATAATTTCCTGTTCTTCACTTGTAATCAGATCTTGACAAGAGCAGCCCAAACCTTGATGGCCCTACTCAGTCCAACGATGACAAGGAGAAGCCACTGCTCCCAGAACAGAGCGAGACCAGTAAGCCTATGGGGGAGGATGTCCCACTGTCTCCCCTGGAGGGGAAGGGGAATGACAGTGAGGCAGTCACTTCTAAGGAGGTGAGCGCCGCTCTGGGACCCACAGAAGGAGTGTCTCAAGAGGAGTCAGAGAAGAAGCCTGAGGATGCTGGAAGTGCAGGAGATGTCAACAACAAAGACACGGGGAACTCGGGGGGAGAGGATTCACAGAGTGTTGGGGAGAAAGACAGTGGAAAAGCAGAAGAGAAGAAAGAGGGAGAACAGGAAGACAAGAATTGAGATCAGCATGCAAAACACTCGTTTTAGCTCAAAGTCTAGATCATGTATGCTCAGCAATGCCATAACAGTTTTTGCTGTTGCTTGGTTAAACACCACAAAAACCTGCACCCTGGAATAATAGCTTCAGTTATTGGGCTGTGGTTAACTAAAGCTGATTGTGGCATGTTATTATCTGTGTGAAGCTTCTGTTCACTTCAACATGCTAGAAACCTGTTTGAAACATATTATGGTTGAAATAATGCACAGTGGAATTAGTAAACTTTTATGGGGCCAAAGCCTCCAAGAAAATATGAAAGCCCATTATTGTCCTCAGATGCCCCCTTAAAGGAATCCAATAAGTACACTTCCACAATACTGGAACAAATGCCCATTTGTGCAAGGTAGAATGGCCTGTTTTCTTCAAGAATAACAGTCTAAGCCCTTTCTTCTTTTCAGTTTGTGTATCTCATGAGATATCACAGCTTCTGTGATTTTTAAATTATTCAGTTTAGCTTTTTGCTGAGGGGGAGTGTCTTGCAGTTTAAGTAGGCTTTTTTAGCAGTTGCCAAAAAACAGCTATAGGTGATTGTGTTTCTATTGTTACATTTACATGTAGGGGTAGTATATTTTGTTATATTGACAGTTTGGATTATATGCATTTTGAGCACTGTGTCATTGGGTCGTAAAGGCTGCAAAGATTTTTCCCTTGTCCTGAAGAAGAAAATTTACTGCCGTACTTGATTTTGGGGAATTTCCTCAGGTCTTGTTCAGGTTGTTGACAATTCAGACTTTTTTCTTCGGATAAAGAAAGTGAGTGGGAGTGCCTAAAAAATTTCACCTGCTGTAAGTCCCTCAGAAATGCAGTGCTTCTAGCATCAGCATTTGTTTTATAATTTAAAAAAGCATTTCCAGATCTTAACTACTGTGTAACTTTCTCTTTGTCACGTCACCTTTGTGCAGAAAGTAATTACATGTACATGTATACCTTGATCATGAAAGCTTTGAAGCAGAGACAAATCTGCTCAAAAGACAACTGGTTTAATCTTAATGCGAATTAACTGCATAGAATTTTGCATCTGAGACTTGTTGGAAATAAACGTACTTGAGGCATTGTCAGTCATGTTCAAGTTTAATGTGTTTGGAAAGAGTCTGTGTTGGGGTGGATGAGAAAATGAGCAACTTATTTTGCAGAAAGTGGAGTTCAAAATCTCAGAGCTGGCCAGTGGAAATCTGCCATCACTTCCCAGTTCTCTTTTTTCTTTTCTTTTATTTTCAGTCTATTTTGTTAAGGGTGTTTCAGGGACCTGTGGGGTTTTGAGCTGGAACAAATACCCACATAAGGAAATATTTGGGGTCAACCTCAAAAGTCCTCAGGATTTCAAATTTTTGCCGTAGTTCTCTGGATTTCTCGAGCTGCATTTTGAGTTTACAATTTGCATAAAAAACTTCAGCTACAGTGCAGGTGCTCGAATTATAGCGACTGTGCCCTCATTTGACAAGTTGGAGTTTTATAAATGCTACAAAAAATGGAACATATAGTACAGTAGAAAAGAAGGGGTATTTTGCACAAGTAATGTCACAAAGTGAACGTCAAACTCGGATGACAACTATGAAAAATTAGGTCGCTCGCTCTAGCCTTTTTAAATTTGGGTACAGGTCTGAATAAAGTTTTAAAGGATTCTATCTTGGGCATTAACCAGCAACATGCAATTAATTGTTCAGAAATTTCTTTATTGCTGTTCCCCTTGTGGCAGCTGTACAGGCATTACTGTTCCACGGTTTTTACGGTGAAACTTTTTTGCCGTAATTGAGGAGATTCGTCGGCAGCCGTGCACCCCTTTAAAGCCATGACTTTTTTCTAATTGTCAAACGGGATTTCTTTCAACCCCGCTGGACTAAGAACAGCATATTTTGACCAATCAGCTCCGTCGATTCACTAGCTGTGCGGGAAACCAGACCATGCAGTGGCAAAAATGGTGGTGTGTGGAGTGAAACTTCGTCCAACTTGTAGCTGAAAATTTCACAAAATATGATCTTTACAGGAAATGAGCCCGTTCACACTTGGCACCAACGTACTGTGTGATGTGTGAAGTCATTATCAGAGTAGGTATCATGTGGAATATTCTGTGCTGTTTTGCAAAATATTTGAAGGAATGTGAGTGGCTTTTTTTGATTGTGGAGTGACATTCTTGCCTGAAGTTTGATACTCAATGATAGGGTGTGCTCAGCATGTAAATGTATTGTAACTCACGCGCGATGCATAGGCGTGCACTGTGTCGAGCACAGCAAGGCACAAGAGTACGCATTGTGTTGTGCCTTCTGCCAGACACTGGGCGCCAAAATGCGGGAAGCCTTGGCAAGCTAGAGACATGTGCGACTGAGGTAGTGAGTACTCTGGGAAGCATTTCTTGTTATGATGATGGTATTATTGGCATGATTTGGCCTAGGTTGGTGGAGAATAATTTGAATTTTGCACAATTGCAGTGTTTTGCGTTGTGTGTTGACTTCAGACAGTGTTTAGGCCCTACATACATGTATGTACTTCCTGAACAGTAGGGCATAGACCCGTAAACAGGCCTGACGTACAGGCCTACTCCTTCGTCATGGGCTCTGTCCCGATTGATAGGGATTTCTTTGAAAAAAGTTTATCCGGGATAGGCCTATCCGGGGGCACGATCAGACATCCGCTGGTTTTTTTATGAGCTGAAATTGCACCCGTATGTTCACTACTTACGGGGTAAACTATCCGCTAGGTTGCTAACTAATTGCAGAAAACTCGCCTTTCCCTCGTTAGGAGGAAAAATGTTGCCTTAACTGAAGGCAACTTTTCAAGGCTTCAGTTCGCATTTTCCCCACTCCTGACAAATTTTGGCTCCTCTTGCATATTACACAGACTCCTTTTTATGGTTAAGTAGGCCTAGTTGTTGCTTTAGCAGAGAGCTTGTCTGTAAACCATGGACCTAGACAGAGTGTTGTCTTGGTAAAATACCAACAAAAAGCAAAATCAGACTTGTGGAAGGCTAGGCCTCCACACCAATTTATATCGTCAAATAGGTGTAGGCCTAGGGCCACCTACTTCTTGAACAGTAAGGCACTACTCCATAGGCCTTACTGTACTCCATCTTTTTGATGGTTCTGCATGCTATGGCATTTTGACAGCTACCTAGATAAAACATCCATTTACGCTTGCTTTAGGCCTTTTTACTAGGAACCATCCTGAATCTTCCAAAATCCTCCAATTTTCAACATGAAAAAATCGCATTCAGCCCAAATCCTCCAAAATTTCTTGAAAATGTCATTTGGAGGTGTGCCTAACTGTCCAATTCCTTCAAAATCCTCTGGCAATTCCTGTCATGTTGAGGCAGTGCGAATGGCACTGTTGAGCTGTGCAGTTAATTCAAATGAATTATAGGGCTGAATTTGTGCTTGACAAAGCACAAACAACATAAGGTCTAATCCATGACCTTCACGTATGGCATCAGCCATGCACTTTTACCATACACCCTGAATCTTCCAAATTCCTCCACTTTGCGGCTAAAGGATTTGGGAGGGTTAGGGTTAAAGACCCTACAATAATAGCTAACCTGGAACTCCTTGGTTTGAGTGTATTTTGTTGTATTTTACCTATATTATTGGCAAAAAATGAGGTTTTTTTCTACCATCCTCACCTTTCATCCCTCGATGATTCGCACATATCTGCATTCTCTGTGGCCGTACTTCATGTGACAAAAACAGGCAGGGCGTATTCCCGTAACGAACATTTATGTTTCTGCCAGTCCCAATAATTCCAACTACTCTCTTTAAGATTATGTATGGAGAAGTCTGGAAAATTTGTGGTCAGGGAACCACACTAATCACATACATGTATCGCTTCAACCATTTTGCAGTAAATACCCGAAGTACATGGAAATCAAACACTTTATTATTCTCACAACTTCACAACAATATCTTCTCAAAATATTATCACTTCCTGAACCACATACATTTTAAACATGCGTAAAACAGCTAGCTTGAAAATGCAGCGTGTATCGTGTCCCCGATATTGCCTAGGGCCCCCTCCCCTTCCAAAATGGTCGGGCCTACGTGATTAGTGCGGTTCACTGACCACAGATGTCCCAGGCGTCTATGCATAATCTTAATGAGAGTAATTGGAATTATTGGGACTGGTATCTAAAGTAACATAAAACGTTCATGACGCGAATATGCTGCACCTGTTTGTGTCACATGACGTACGGCCGAAGAGAATGCAGATGAGGTTTGATTTTGCTTTTTGCTTATATTTTACCATTTTTGCTGATATTTTTGCAACACTTCGTCTAGTTCCATGGTTTACATTAATTGTCCTCGGTGTGAAGTCTCTGAGTTCCGGCAGACTTCCACTTTTAATTGAGTGGGCCTATGCCCATGGGCCAGATTTCCTTATATTCTCCGTTCCACAAGTGATTTTTTCACACACGAAAACAATTGGAACACCGTAATGCATGCGGTATGAATCTACTGTAAGCCGAGGCGTATGTGTACGTATGTGCATACAGCGAAGGTCTGCGGGCATTTTTCGGCATGGTTTGAAGCGCTTCTGTGTACTTCTGTTAATAAAACAATATCCTAGGAACCATCCAGTAATGGCGCTGTGATTAGCTGCAAATAAAGTATTAATACATGTATTCATAGGCCTATGTGTCAAGTGAGCTTGTTGCAGCCCTTCCTGCGCAAGTACTGCAGTTCCTAACCATCTCCACTAAAGTCTTGGGAACACACATCTGGTCAGCCAGTCCATTCAATTTTGAAAGCTGCTTGCGTAATTTATGTGTGTACAGTGAACAGCGCTGTGGTTTTCCCTCACCGAATCAAGCTGTTTATGTCTGGTGCCGCAAGAGAGACGAACAGTGGGCGTTAATGGTTAGAAATTCTCGTACCGCCTGAATACAAGCAAATGCCAAAAGTGCTACAGTATTGAGGACAGTGGTGAACAAAAGAAATTTTTTTTATTCCCCCGCCCCCCAAAAAATTCCCCAAGACCAAACTCCTGCAAGGAAACTAATAAAAATTGTGTTCTGTAACCAAACACCCGGCCCAAAAACTGCCCACCCTCCGTCTAAAAATCGTTACCCGCTCCTCACAGTAACATGAAAATTTCACCCCTTCCGATTTTGACATTACTATAAATTCTCAATTTAAGAAAATCATGGCTAAAACGGTGGTTTTCAGTCCAAAAATGTTTAAGAAAATGATAACCACAAGTTCTAAAGAAAACAGTGTACGCAACGCTAATAATTTTTCACCAAACCCACACGCCTTTCCAAAGTAAAATCCAATATTCACCCTCTGCTGTCCACACCACCAATAGCTGGTTTCCTCACATTTTTATGTGCAACAAGCACAGCTCTGGTGTTGGTTATCAACTAAAATGTTAATGTACTTAAGTTACGTGCATGCATGTAGATCTCATCATGGCGTGTGGGGCCTGGGACGCGTTGCTCCGAATCGATATGACTGGTGGAAATTCTGCTTCCTCAGTTCTTACATTTCGTATCTATTGTTTATTACAAGTCTTTATTCGTTAAACTGTATCTCACTTTCATAAACACTTTTTAAAATTCACGTAACAAAACGATACCATGTGCCATTAAACAAAAAGTTATGCATACTTGTACACATGCACGCTTTACGTATACAGTCAATTGGTGATACATAAGTTGAGCAGGACAGCAGCTTTCGCATAAGATGGGGTCCAGATAATACAAGCTAATTTAGAAAGTCCCAAGGCTTTCATATTAACGAGAGTTGACTGTACATGTAAAATGCTGTTGTAAGTCATGGATTTCCATTGGCTATGATGACGGCAAGGAAAATTCGTGGAATTGTACTTCAGACATTTTAGTATGGCTGCTAGGCAACAGTGTAAGAAGAACCACCTTCCCTAAGAATATTGTACCATCAGGAACTCTTTGGGAAAAAACGGGCAGTGTAGTTAACTCCTGAAAGCAAAGATTTTATTTTAACTCTCCATTGCTCTACGGTGTTCATGAGTTCTCAGATGATGTAATGCTGTTCGGCAGCAGACTATAACCCATGTCTTTAATTATCCAACTTCCAACACCTGCACTGCGCTGAATGATTTCAGGTCTGTATTTGTCAGGGTTGTGAAATTTCTGATTTTAGTGGATTTTCTCCTTTTTTTTTACTGAATATGCCAACTTTTATTTTCTGCTTTTTCCACGGGCACAGATACAAATCTTTGGAAATGGCTGAGCAGAGATAAGGCAATGCAATCCCAAAAATCCAAAAGCCTGGACATGCCATGCGCATTCTTTGTAACAAATTG